TGTTATAGCAGCACTAGATGACTGAGACAGATCGTGCTTCAGTTTCTGAGATAGCCTTTGATACTGAGTTTCCAGGATACATGACCATTACAAGGTATCTGTGGAAACCCTGGTTAAGAGGTTGACTCCTAACCAAAAGGTCAGTAGTTCGAATCCACCAGGTGCTCCTTGGAAACCCTGTGGGGCAGTTACAGTCCACTCAGCAGCAGTGTTTTGTTTTGTTTTGGTATGTTGAACACAGTAAAAATTTAATAATTTAGGATATTTCATTTTGAGTACAGGCAGTCCCCGGATTACAAATGTCCAACTTATGGATAACTCGTACTTGCCCTGTAATGTTATGTAGATTTGCCCTCACTTGGAAACTGTTGAACCAACTCCTACTCACAACAAATTCTTCATCACGATCACCTTCACTTGCTGCACATGCAGCTTTCAAATCATTGAAAAGACTTGAAGCCTTTTCTTGCACTAACCAAAACCAAACCCACTGCTGTCGAATTGATCCAACCCATAGCAACTCTATAGGGCAGAGTAGAACTGTCCCATAGGGTTTCCAAGGCTGTAAATCTTTGTGGAAGCACACTGCCACATCTTTCTCCCATGGAGCAGCCGGTGGGTTTGAAATGCTGACATTTTGATTAGCAGCTGAGTGCTTTAACCACTACACCACCAGGGCTCCTCTTCTTGCACTAAAGTAAGACTAAATAAGAACTGTGTGCACCTGTTCTGACTTCCTACAAATTACAACTTGAAGACACAGCTAGTAGGGATCTCGTTCATAACCTGGGGACTGTCTGTAATGCTTTTTACAAATGCTTGCATTCTAGTTAAAATCATATTGTTTAGTGAAATTAGTATTGCAGTAGTGATTTTTATTCTCAGTGATAAAAGTAAATATAGGCATTGACCACTTTAGGAAATACCTTTTTATGTGTTGGTAATAAATATGTCATTTTGTTATCCTTTTCTTATTCTTTTAGATGTGATTATTATTTCTGTGGTCCAGCATTTGAGGACATGGAAAACTAAAACTTACTCTGAGTGGTTCAGCAACTCAGCGTGTTCCATAAGTCTCAATTTACTGTAGGTTTCTAATAGAAAACAAAATTAATCTCATGTTCTTAAATGAACATACCACTTTTATGGATTGCTAATGGGAGTAAAAACTTTGACATTTGAAAAGTTTAATGTCTTTGAAAGCAGGGAATATACTTAACTAATAATCTGGGAAAAGTATGAACCAATGTTAAATATATAAATTGTTGCCTGATTCAGGCTACGTAAAGTTGTCTCTATGGAAAGTAGCTGGATTTAAAGTCACAGCTTGTAATTCAGAGGGTCTGCCCTTGTAAGTTTAAATTTGGGGCTCATATCTGAAAACACAGTTTTTCTTTTTCTGTAATAACTTAATTTTTTAGCTTATCTTTCTTGATTGACAGTTTCAGATTCTTTGGTGCTTGAACTGTGTTAACTGTGTCTTTGGGGCACCTCCAGGACTCCACAAAGTGAATTTTTTCTTTACATCAAAGTGAAATTTTTATATGCCAGATAGCTATAGGTCAGATCATGCCATACGTGTGCATAAAATTTGGTTAAAATTTATATAGCCATCCTCTTGCATTGGAGTAACAGACCAAAATTTAATTTAATTTATATATATTTTTTAAAAGGAGCCCTAGTGGTGCAGCGGTTAAGCGCCTGTCTGCTAACTGAAAGGTTGGTGGTTAAAACCCACTAGCTGCTCTGTGGGAGAAAGATGTGGGTGGCAGTATGCTTCCATAAAGATTACAGCCTTGGACACCCTATGGGACAGTTCTACTTTGTTCCTATAGGGTCACTGTGAGTCACAGTTGACTCGATGACAACAAGTTTTATATTTAAAAAGCTAATGACCTCAAAAGATGCCGATTCTCTTTATATTGGGGTTCTTGTTATGTTAACACATTCTTTTCCTAAATTTTTTAAGATTAAAAACTGATGGGGATTATGAGATCCAGAAAAATATATTGAAACTACGTATCTTTGATACACAGTAAATATGATAGATTTCAAAGTAAGTTACAAATAATATTTAAATATAATCCCTACAGATAAAACTTAGAATAGTATTTTTCATATTTGTTGACCATGGTTCACAGTAAGAAATATATTTTACATATTTATATATGTATAATATATATGTATTACACACACACACGTATATATGTGTGTGTAACGTATACACACACACAAAAAAAAAACCATTGCCATCAAGTCGATTCCAACTCATAGCGGACAGAGTAGAACTGTCCCATAGGGTTTCCAAGGAGTGCCTTGTGGACTCAAACTGCTGATCTTTTGGTTAGCAGCCATAGCTCTTAACCACTACACCACCAGGGTTTCCGTAATATATACAGTATGTATATAATTACATATATATAGCTATACGCATTAATAATTTTATACATGAATATATGTAATTTCAAACATTTTATGAAAAATACTTACCCTTACTATATGAAATATACTCTGATACTTTCTTTTTTTAATGCTGATCACAAAAACTAATTGATTTACTGACTTACAGTTTGAAAGAACAGTGACTTAGAAGACTATATGGAAAAAATATAATTACAGAATAATTTTTGACAAATTTGACCTGATTTAAATCATAACCCTAGGAATATTATACATGTTGGGCCTGAATTCACGGTAGATTATATTTTCAGAAATTTATGTGTTTCACCATGTATAGAGAAAACGTTGCAGAAAAATGGATAGTTTGCAAAATATTTAATGATGCCTCATCAAGGTTGCTGAGATGGATACTGGTTGGGCTAGCTTTGAGCTTTTTAGCTATTCCATTTAATCATGTTAGACTGGCTTGACTGAACTAGAATTACAGGGGACTTCTAGGCTATATTCATCCTTTCAGGAGGTAGAAGAATCATCAGCAGAGCAAATTTACAACCCTAGAAGTAAGTCTCATACTGTAATACTTTTCATAGTGGAACTATAAGGGATTATCTCTCAGTGACACCAAAAAAATATGAGATTCCTTTCTGGACAATACATACAGTAATAACCACTCCAAATGCTAGATTTGCAAAGTTTAATACTTTTAGCTCTCCTCGTTTATATATGAGTATTCTAAAATTTCAGAATCATGTAATTATAATCATAGACCAAGTAATGGTCTTATATTTTACCTAAACGTCACTGTCATTTTTCTAGTACGTAGGGAAATAAGATGATCCTAATAGAGTGAGGCTTTGGAGCCAAAAGTTAAAATGTTATGTTAAAATTTCAGCTTTCTTGCCTGTGAGCTATATGAACTTGAGCATGCCACTTAAACTCTGAGGTACAGTTTTCTTACCTGTAAAACTGCAGTAATAATATCTACCTCATGGGACAGTTATGAAGATTATTTCAGAATATTTAGTACAATTTTAGGCATATAATAGGAATTCAGGAAAGCTTAATTCTTTCATTGCTCTTCCCTAGCAATACTTTTTTTCCTCACACTATGTTTATATGAAACAAATGGGTCGTGAGGATTCCTTTGACAAATTATTTTCAGAAGGATTAAGATTCAAGTAATATATTTAATTAGAGCTTAGTGTGGAAATTGTATGCAGTGTGTGTAATGCACCTAACTTCTGTAGCTAGTATACTTATCTGGCTGAATCATGAATTCAGTCCTGGAATGAATCAGTCAAATGATTTTATTCCATGACCTATCTAAGATCTGTTCTGTGTAAACATATACCCAATTATGTGCTCTAGAGAAATCAGACAAAACAAAAAAATACTCTTCTTTAGAATTAATGTAAACTATACATAATCTCTTCTGTCCTTGATGAAGGGACAGTTCCTGTCTGGAATGCCATATTTACATAAATTATCTTTATTGACACCCTGTGATAAGGGTCATCAAGAAAGTTGGGAATGCTATAGGCAACATAGAAACTTAAGACAGGTAAATAAATATGCTTTTCTATGTACAGAAAGATGAAATGATAGTAGGGCATGCGCTCTCATTGTACTGATTATGGATTTCACCTGATTATTCAGTACTTCCTAATCAAGTCCCTTTTGGGATCCATGACATTTGTGAAATGACTGGCTGGAGTTGAGACATAGCCTACAGCCATAAAATAATGTAAAGGTAGCTTTTCAACTTTGAGTGAATTATTTTAACTTCATTAATTATTTGGCTCCAACCCTATCAGCTAGGCACATTGAACCCGTAAATTTTCATTGTCAAACGTTTATGAATCATCAAATTCTTGTTTTTTATTAAAACAACCGTTGTTCTCTGAATATATATAATCCCAAATTAAGTGTAATAAGAATAAGATATCAATCATAAGTAAATTGAAGGGTGAGTTATCTGTCCTTTTGTGCTTTTAAACTAATGACCACTGAAGGGAAGAGTCTTGTGTGAAGGCCGTTTTATAGTTATATAATGGAACTTAATTTTCTCTGATTCTTTCTGAATAGCAGTGTTATTATATGATATTTATCTTTACAGAATTATTTTAAAATTTAAAATATATTTTATTTGTACTTTCCCAGATTTTTCATTAAGTTTTCTATACATATTGAGTAAATCTTTTGTGAATTAAGAAAGAATATACTAAGACAGCCTAAAGATCAAATAATTTTGACAAATGCCCCAGTAAATTAGGACAGAAAGGACATTAAGGATAGTTGAGCTCTTTGCACTTGAAGGAGTCTATTAATACAAGGTTCATGTTTCAAACTTTTAATTTGCTTTCTTATTAAGGTATACCAAATATACTATTAGAAGGCTAGAAGAGATAGTCTACCCTTTAGCTATCAATAAAATAAGTACCACATTAAAAATCAGAATGATTTATTGTTAACTATTAATGATCCTAATATTCTGTAGAGTATTCCTTTCTAACTTTGGAATATAGTTGGTTTTAGTTTACTTCTGGTGAATAATTTTTTATTACCTATTTACATGATATTAAATTTTACGATTTATTAGTATTGAAAAGGTTTTCACATTTACTGTAACAACAGATAATTAAGTTTTGAAAAAAGGTCATATAGTGTTTTAAGAAGCCAGTACATATGAGTTGTTCAAGTGTAAATTTGCTTTTGAACTCTTAACTGAATTAAAAATTAGGTTGAATGTTGATTATGCAGTGTATTAGGTATAATTATTTTTTATAACCAGAAAATTAATTTATGTAATAGTGACACCATCACTTTAAATGTCTACCAGTTGCTTAATATGATATTTGAAGATATTCTTAAACATCCATTTCATTACAGTGCTATGCTGAAGTGAAAATTTTAGTAGAAACTTATCAAAATATTTCAGAATCAAGAAAAGCTAATTGAAATTTAAAAGTATTTAATTTGAAAGTTCTTTTTAAATGATTTGATATCTATAATCTTTAATAGAGTTAGTATTGCTGACTTCTGATAATTTTCACAAATTATAATACTTTGTTACCATAATGGTGGTAATTTTTTTTTTTTTTAATTTTAGTTTTATTTTTCAGAAATTATCCTTAGGATGAATACAAAGGAATCAAACTCTGATAATCAAACAACTCTTAGTTAGGATCTTCACTTTTTAAAGTGTTCTGGCCCATATGGGTCTAATCCTTATTCTAGGATATTCTTAAGTATTTTAATAGTTAAAACTTCATTAACTTAAATTTTATTAGCTTAGAATGATGAAATAAGATGTGGGCAGGGATAAAGTTCATTTTTTTAATGTTATTGGAGGAAGGAGTGATTGTTAAATGGTTTAATTGATCTGAGATTAATCTCTCACTAAGTCAACCCTGGAGACATATTCTTTCATCCACTTTACTCTCACCAAAAATGTCTGTCGTGGAGGCAGGCAGTATGTCACAGAAAACCTCCATATAGTTCAGGGTTGCCATGGCTATCTTAGTGCTACTTCCATACCAGAATTTTGGGGGACCATCCCTCACCACGTTATCCCTGCCTACGTCTTGACCTCTTTATTAACCTTCAAGGAATTTCTACCAGTAAACTGTTATACTTGAAAATGGATAGGGCTTAATCAAAAAGAGTTATTTAAATGATTTTAAAGAAGCATTTGTTAGAAGCAATTTAGTAACTTGAGGTTTATAGTTATCATTCTGAAGAAGGCAAATAGGAACTGCACTTAGTTTGAACTTTAATTCACTTAAATGAAAATGTATAGTACAGTATCTTTTGCATTGTAAGCATTCAGATGTTTGAGGAATGATTGGCATTTGAAACTGTCACAATGCCTTTTGGGTGTTTTGGTTAAATTTAATCTTTATATCTGTTTTTGCCAACGAGGCATTTTCCCTAGATATACGAGATGCATGAATACAGAATGTAACTGTTAGCTTTAAATAAAACTCTATCTAAAATTATAATATATCAGGAAATTGTTTTTATACAGGTAAATGGTTGCAGTTTTGTGGTGAGAACAGAAAAACCTACAAATTTATTAAGGGTACAGTATTTAAAACTGCTCATGATACTAATGTTTTAAACTGTTTAAAACTATCTGGCTTACTAACAAAGCTTTTTCATGCATGTACTTCTTTCTGTGTGTGATTTCTAAATGCATTTAATGTTTAACAGAACAAAGTTTCTCACCCTTTGTTATAACACTCAATTATAACAGAATTTGCAGATGTTCTGTTTGTATTCTTGAGTATGTATCACATTAACAACAAAGTAGGTTGCCATACCAGTAAACTCCCAGTTACGAGTGGTGCTTTAAAGTGGACTTTGCTATGGAATTTGATACTTGAATCCCTTTCCCTGAGAAATGTTTCTAATATTGAATTATTAACATGTTGGATTGATTTAGGAAGAATTTGGAGTTGATGATTCATATTCTGAACATGGAGCACAATACAGTGAGACTCATCTAGAAATGATGGAAAATGAATTAGCTGGGAAACAGCATGAGATTGAAGAGCTAAACAGAGAACTAGAAGAAATGAGGGCCGCCTATGGGACTGAAGGACTGCAGCAGGTATGTCTACCTTCTGTGGCTTTTGGTTTGTTACTAACAAAAACAAAAATTGGAAATTTGAATGCTGGTATATATATAAACCCACTGCTGTCAAGTCAATTCCAACTCATAGCGGTTCCTATGGGACAGAGTAGAACTTCTCCATAGGGTTTCCAAAGCTGTAAATCTTTACAGAAGCAGACTGCCACACCTTTCTCCCATGGAGTGGCTGGTGGGTTTGAACCACTGACTTTTTGGTGAGCAGTTGAATGCGTTAACAACTGTACCACCAGGGCTCTTGGGGGTAGAATATTTTATGTGTGTGTGTGTGTGTGTGTGTGTGTGTGTGTCCATTAACAGGGCTAATATAATTTGAACTTTTTTATTTAGTTGTATGAGATATCTAGGCTAAAGTCACTTCAGTAGGATAGATGTTTTTGTAATCAGCCTGAGAGAAAATTTGCTGCAAACCACATCAAAATATTATGACTTTAGCCCATTAAGAATGGCAACAAGTCTTTGTAAGTAACCTCTTGTGGTTAGTGTGATATCTATTGTCCACGGCAGTCAGTTATGATTAGGTGAAATAGGACATTGATGAGGATGACAGAATACCTTTCAGTTTCATTATCTCCAGAAACAAGTACAGATTGGAGGTCCCCCTAAATATAAAGGCACTTGTCCTAGAAATAGATATATGGATAAGGCAGACCTAATGTTTTTTTTTCCCTTAGTTCAGGTAATTTTCTCAAAGTTGGTTTGAAAATAAAAGCTATTCCTGCAAGGTTTCAAATATGAAGATTGCTTACAAATTCTAAGAATTCTGCCAACACATATGAATCTTATATATCTATATTTTATAGTGTTTTTGTTAAAAAATTTACATAGCAGATTCCCATTTAATTTCTATACATCTTGTTGAGTGACATTGGTTACATTTTTCACAGTGTGTCAACATTCTCATTATTTCCATTCTGTTTGTTCCATTTCCGTTAATCTAGCTTCCCTGCTCCTCCCATACCTTCTCATCTTTGCTTTAGGGTAAATGTTGACTGTTTGGTCTCATATAGATGATTTTGAATCTCGTATTTTTAAAGAACAGTTGCCTATAGTAATTTAAAAAAATGAGCCACTTATTTTTTTCACTGGTTTCCTTCAGTTACAAGAATTTGAAGCTGCCATTAAACAAAGAGATGGCATCATAACCCAGCTCACTGCTAATTTGCAGCAAGCAAGAAAAGAAAAGGATGAGACAATGAGAGAATTTTTAGAGTTGACAGAACAAAGTCAAAAATTACAGATTCAATTCCAGCATGTAAGTATTACTAGTAGAAGAAAATTTATTAGACTTTTAGTAACGATTTTTTAAAAATTTTTACACTTGCAGAACCAGATCTAAATTTGTTAAAGAGCCATTTGCTTATTAGATATCATGTTGGAAAAGCTGGTAAATACCTATTATTATGTTGACCAATAATTTAATTCATATTTCTTGAGTGATTTTCTGCAGTTTGTTTGTTTGTTTGTTTGTTTTTTACTTCTCAGTCTCTATTTTGGAATTGTACAAAACCTTATAAAGCCAATTGGTAGATTTTTGCAGAAATTAACTGGTAATCACATCCTCCCTTTGCCAACCCTGGTATGGTTTTATTTCATTTAGGTTCTGCAATGGTAACTAGATTGAATATATTCCACTTAGCTATAATTAGAGCCACAGGGATCTACTTGTCTTAATTAGGGTATCTGATGGCAAGTAACAGAAGACACTTTGATATAGTTTAAGCAATAGAGAGGAATTTAATGTAAGGATACAGGATTATTTTACTGAATAATAGCACAGAAATACCAGAAGGTGCTTGAAAGGGATTGGAACCAGAGACTGGAAAGTCACAAGGAATCTGGGAAGTACTGTTATTCAGCCCCCACTTCTCTCTGCATGTCTGCTTCACTCTTAGGTCTCTCATTAGACCTACTTTCTCTGCTTTACCATGAGAAACAGAATCTTACTGGTTCAGCTTCAGTAATGTGCCATTACTCATCCAATCAGCAATGGCAGAATGTTTGCTGGAGCCTCTCTAAAACTAGCACAGTTCCCAAAGAGCCATTGTGAGCTGAGTACTACCCCAAAAGGTATATATTCCCTAATACAGTCACTTCAGAATTTTAATGCTTTGGGGTTTCTTTCTATTTTTAAGTTACAGGCTAGTGAAACTCTGAGAAACAGCACTCATAGTAGCACAGCTGCAGATTTACTACAAGCAAAACAGCAGATCCTCAGTCATCAGCAACAGCTGGAAGAACAAGACCACCTATTAGAAGATTATCAAAAAAAGAAAGAAGACTTCAAAATGCAAATTAGTTTCTTACAAGAGAAAATTAGAGCATATGAAATGGTATGTTTATTTTAAGGAAGTCAACCAATTTGCAGTAGCTTTGCAATTTAAAAATTTTTATACAAGTGTTTATCTTTTTGTTATGCACATGGATCACAGAATTTCATAATTAATGAAAACTCTTTAAGTGTATAAGATAATTTATTTCAAAAGCAACTGGTAGTCTCACAATAATACCGTCTTTAAGATAATATGAATATTGAGTTCTTGGAAATGAGTCAACCCATATTAAAGCAAATTCTCAGGAGAATCTAAATAAATAACCAGAATTTCTATCCTTTATTTTTTTCATCTAAAGGTATTTCCACTTATTTTAGCTATTGTTATGAAATTCCAAAACTATTTTCAAAACAAAGTGAAATGTTAGGGATTTTAATTAGAAAAATAAATATATGTCATACAGTACTTTTTATAAATAAGAATATTGTTTAGATAATAAGAACAGTATTAGCTAGCATTTATTAAGTATAATTAGGGTGATAGCTGAAACTGTCTTGGTCCCTTAGAAGACTGTATTTTTTTGCCTGTTTATTTATTTTTATTGTGCATTAGGTGAAAGTTTACAGAGCAAATTAGATTCCCATTCGATAGTTGTATATAAAGTGTTTCATGGACTTGTCTTCATTTCCCACACTGTGTCAGCACTCTCTCCATTTCCGCCCTAGGTTCCCCGTTTCCTTTTGTCCTGATTTTCTACCCCTTCCTGCGTTCTCATCTTTGCTTTTGGGCAAATATTGCCCTTTAGATCTCTTATAATTGTTCTAAGGAGCACATTCCTCACAGGTGTTATTGTTTATATTATGGGCTTGTCTTTTGTTTGGCTGGAAGGTGGTCTCTGGGAACGACTTCAGTTCCAGGTCAGAAGGGTGTCTTAGGGCTATAGTCTTGGGGGTTCCTCCATTCTCTGTCAGAATAGTGAGTCTGGTTTTTTTGTGTGAATTTGATTTTTTGTTCTACATTTTTCTCCCAGTCTGTCCAGGACCCTCTGTTGTAATCCCAGTCAGAGCAGTCAGTATAGAAGACTGTATTGATGATTACAGGCTCGTTCTCATTGTCCTAATCGTCTGAATTTCCCAGAGTGCAATAATCATAGGCAAGAAATATATTATTCCCACTTTCTCAGTTCTGTTTCCACAGATAAAGAGGGATCGTTTCCTTGACCACAGGACTGCCTTTTGCAACACAAAATTAAGTGGGTTAAAATCAGTGCGTTTGAAATAAATGTTGCTAAGAAAAGTAAATACTGAATTTATATTGTTCAATATTTGAATGCAGAATTATGGTTGTTTGTAATTATATGAGGCATTGGACTATTTTGAATTAAGTGATACTGATAAAAGTTTTTTCCCTATAGAAAATCAGGAAACAGAAAAGTTAGGTTTTTGTAACAATGTTAACATTTTTCAAGATTAATTACTTATTTAACATTTTAACTTCAGTTGGCTACCATGAGCTGATTTTACTTTCTTACAGGTTCCAAATGCCTTACAGATTTTTTTTTCTAGTATATATGCATATTGCATTTGTATATAATACATTAAAAATATGGTACCTTAAAATATTTTATTTCACTTTAGCTTTAGAACATATTCTGTGAGATAGAGAAAATAATATCTGTACAAACTCTTGTACAGATGAAAACACCAAGATTTAAAGAGGCAAAGATGACTTATCAATGTCATAGTGTAGTGCAAAAATTAAGGTAAGAAGGCTCAGCACTTGATAATAACATAAGGTTACATAGAATGGGATATGTGATGCCAAGAGAAAAGCTGGCATTTCTCTCAAGAGACTGCACAGGATAGCATTCATTGCTTTGGTTAATTTATATAGCATAGAGTCTAGCCTTTTACTTGTAGGCTCAGAGCAATATAAGAGAAATTTCTTCCTCCGAAGAAGACCAAGACTACTATAGTGTCTGCTTTTTTCCAGAGCTGGACGCACAAGTTTCATTGTCTTTAGAGAAACTGAGGAGCAGGCCCAACCGTTACTTTGTATAGAATTATGTAAAAAGCTGACTTCTATCATCAGTCTTTTGGTAAAGGGGTTAAATGATGTAAGTTGCCAGAAGCTAAAAATGTCATTCTTATATTTTCATTTTTTCTTTCTAAAGGAACAAAGTAAAAAAGTAGAAAACTCAAATAAAGAAGAAATACAGGAAAAGGAGGCAATCATTGAAGAATTAAATACAAAAATAGTAGAAGAAGAAAAAAAAACTCTTGAGCTAAAGGATAAAGCAACAGCTGCTGATAAACTACTAGAAGAATTGCAAGAACAGGTTGTACAAAAGAACCAAGAGATAAAAAACATGAAATTAGAGCTGACTAATTCTAAACAAAAAGAAAGACAGTGTTCTGAGGAAATAAAACAGTTAATGGGGACGGTTGAAGAACTTCAAAAGAGAAATCATAAAGATAGCCAATTTGAAAATGATATTGTACAGAAAATGGAACAAGAAACACGAAGAAAGTTAGAACAACTCCGGGCGGAGCTGGATGAAATGTATGGGCAGCAGATAGTGCAGATGAAACAAGAGTTAATAAAACAACACATGTCACAGCTAGAGGAACTTAAAACACAACATAAGGGAGAAGTGGAGAATGCTTTAAGATCGTATCCAAATATTAATGAAGATCAAATAAAGTTAATGAATGTGGCAATAAATGAACTGAATATAAAATTGCAAGATACTAACTCTCAAAAGGAAAAACTCAAAGAAGAACTGGGAGTGATTTCAGGAGAAAAATCTGCTCTACAGAAACAGCTTAAAGACCTTTTAGAAGAATTAAGCTTTTCAAGGGACCAGATTCAGAGAGCTAGGCAGACAATAGCTGAACAAGAAAGTAAACTCAGTGAAGCCTATAAGTCTCTTAGTACAGTGGAAGACTTGAAAGCTGAGATTGTTTCTGCATCTGAATCTAGGAAGGAACTAGAATTAAAACATGAAGCAGAAGTCACAAATTACAAGATAAAACTTGAAATGTTAGAAAAAGAAAAGAATGCTGTGTTAGACAGAATGGCTGAATCCCAAGAAGCTGAGTTAGAGAGGCTGAGAACACAGCTGCTGTTTAGTCATGAAGAAGAACTTTCCAAACTGAAGGAAGATTTAGAAATTGAACATCGAATAAATATTGAAAAACTTAAGGACAATTTAGGCATTCACTATAAACAGCAGATAGATGGGTTACAAAATGAAATGAGTCAGAAGATAGAAACCATGCAATTTGAAAAAGACAATTTGATAACTAAGCAAAATCAATTAATTTTGGAAATTTCAAAGCTAAAAGATTTACAGCAATCCCTTATGAATTCAAAATCAGAAGAAATGACTCTTCAGATCAATGAACTTCAAAAAGAAATTGAAATACTCAGACAAGAAGAAAAGGAAAAAGGTACCCTTGAACAAGAAGTTCAAGAATTACAACTTAAAACTGAATTATTGCAGAAACAAATGAAAGAAAAAGAGGATGACCTTCAAGAAAAATTTACACAGCTTGAAGCAGAGAATAGCATTCTTAAAGATGAAAAGAAAGCCCTTGAAGACATGTTAAAAATATATACTCCTGTTAACCAAGAAGAAAGATTCATTTTCTTGGACTCTAGTAATTCCAAATCTAAAGATGGTAGCTGGCAAAAAGAAATAGATATGCTCACAGAGGAAAATGAGAACCTCAAAGCACAATGTATTCAGCTAAAGGAAGAGATTGTAAAACAAAGGAACACTTTTTCATTTGCTGAAAAAAACTTTGAAGTTAACTATCAAGAGTTACAGGAGGAGTATGCTTGCCTTCTCAAGGTAAAAACTGATTTAGAAGACAGTAAAAACCAACAAGAAGTAGAATATAAAAGTAAGCTTAAAGCACTTAATGAAGAACTTCATCATTTGCAGAGAATAAATCCATCTGTAGTAAAAATGAAAACTTCAGTGTTTGATGATGATAAAACTTTTATACCAGAAATGTTGGAAATTGGTGAGGTGGTTGAGAAAGATACCACGGAACTTATGGAAAAACTTGAGGTAACCAAGCGAGAAAAATTAGAACTGTCAGAGAGATTGTCTGATCTTTCTGAACAATTAAAACAGAAACATGGTGAGATTAGTGTTCTAAGTGAAGAAGTTGAATCTTTAAAGCAAGAGAAAGAGCAAGTTTTATTGAGATGTAGAGAGCTAGAAATCATAATTAATCATAATAGAACAGAAAATGTAAATGTGTTTGATGTTCAGTCACGCTCATTTAAAGACAGAGTTGTGACTGTGACAAGCAGGGATTCTGAAGAGTCACTTTCTAAAATAAATAAAGGCTTTGTTGAAGAATCGAGAGTAATGAAGGAAGATAAAATTCCTTTTGAAAATATGACAATTGGGGAAGAAAGCAAACAAGAACAGTTACTTTTGGATCACTTGCCATCAGTGACAAATGAATCAATGCTTGAGGCAACTGAACCTGGTGAAAATGATAAACTTCAGCAGGAACTCAGTGTACTTAAATCAGAACAGGTATGTTTACTTGTTTAAATATGGTAAAACAGTGAACATGTACATTTCATATTAGAAAAAGTTACGTTCATAAAACATAAATTAGTATTTTTACAAGAGAATGAAAGTGAACCTACTAAAGTAATTCTCATTTGGGTCATTTATTTTATCTATTTTTTCCTATACATTGTTTTTCTTTTGATTAATCTATGTTGTATATTCTGCTCAGGAAATAAAAAACACCAATGGTTTTACATTTTATTTGAAAAGACAAGAATTTAAATAACTTTGTTGAGAATTTAAGCTTTAAAAAAGTTATTAATTTTATTCTGTAATATTTTGTTGCAATGCCATATACCAGTTTTAGAATTTTATTTCATACTGGGATCTTCAAGGTTCCACTACTGAAAATTAACTCTTAAACTTTTTACTACTTTATATAGTTGTTCTGTAGTTATGAAATTCTATTTCCCTAGGAAAAAATCTCTACTTAAATCCTAGATTTTTCTTAGTCTTATTATACTTGAAGAAAAATAAAGTATCAACTCTACATACAATTAAAATATTAAATAATGCATTTAATTTGAGTAATAATAGATCAGTCCTGACAATTTATACTGATATTGGAAGTAACAGGAAAATTCCACTGCAGATCTACTGTATAAAGGTGATATCTAAACCTTTGTGTGTTTCTTCATTTGTCTAACAAATATTTATTGCCAGGTATAGGAGTATAATGAAGAGAAGCCTCCTACTCTCAAAGAGCATATATTTTAGAGAGGGAGACAGGCACTAAATGAGGAAGCAAGTAAGGTAGTTATAAATAGCAGTAAGTCCTATGAAGAAAATAAAACAGGATGATGTGATAGAGAATGACTTGATCGAGAATGGAGTGGTGGCAGCATTAAATAGGGTGGTCAAGAAAGGTCTTTAGGAGGAACTGACATTTGAACTAAGACCTGAATGATAGGGAGGAACCTGCACCATGGAGATTGTTGTTGTTACGTCCCGTTGAGTCGGTTCCGACTCATAGCGACCCTGTGTACAACAGAATAAAACACTGCCCGGTCCTGTGCCATCCTCACAATTGTTGTTATGTTTGAGCCCATTGTTGCAGCCACTGTGTAAATCCATGTCATTGAGGGTCTTCCTCTTTTTCGCTGACCCTCTACTTTACCAAGCATGATATCCTTCTTCAAGGACTGGTCCCTCCTGGCAGTATGTCCAAAGTATGTGAGGCAAAGTCTCACCATCCTTGCTTCTAAGGAGCATTCTGGCTGTGCTTCTTCCTTGGAGATTAGAGCAGTTCTAAAGACATAGGAATGAGCTTGGTAAGTTTGAGGAACAGAATGAAGACCTGTGTAGTTAAATTTTAGAGAGGGAGAAAATGAAAGAAGAATTTGACGAAAGTGGAAGAAACCAGATCTTGGAGAGCCTTACAGACTTTGTAAGAAGTTTAGATTTTATTCTGAATATAGTAGGAAGTCATTGGAAAGTTTACTGTTTTTATTTCTAATGAATTCATCCATATTATCGTATATCAGATGTACAGATATTTTACGTTTTTAGTCACCTAAATAGGGTCAAGAAATTTCAATTGTTTAACTATTAATGCTCTGTTAAGTATCTGGATCATTTTAAAAACAATAGTTTGTGATAATTGCTCCGAAAAATGCCAGAGATGATGTAAAATTTTATAAAAAGCATTATTGAGAGAGAACCTGAATTTGAAGTTCAGCTGTCAAAATGGTCAGATTTTCTAAGTAAGAATTTTATTCTCTATGAAAGACATTTCAGTGGCACTCAGATGCCCTCTCCTTGACATTAACTGCTTAATGTATATGAGGTATGAAAAGTTTAAGTGAACAAAAGTCCAAAATACATCTTCAGCCTTTTCAGTTTGTTTGCTCAGTACTTTTTTCCTAGAGAGTTCCCTATTTAATCTTGAGTTACTCCAAGGTAAACCTTTTAAATGGTTCTCAACACTGGTTATTTCTGCAGTTCTTCTCACCCACTGTCCATCAAGTCATAGCCTTAGACTCTATGAATTCTGAATTCATGGTAATAAGATGTGGATTATTTGCTTTTTTTTATAATTTCTTTGTCCCTTTTCGCTTCCATTAGCATGTATTTTTAAGAATTGAAACTATACCCATATTCATAGAGGAAGACTATAAAGAAAGATGTTTTGTCTCTCCAAATCAATCTCTATATTCAGCGTAGTTCCACCAGTCAAAATTGCAGCAGGGTTTTTCATGGATCTTGAAAAATGGATTCTAAAATTGATGTAGAAGTATAAATATTCAGGAATAGCCAAGACAAATCCTAGAAAAATTAAAATGGGGGCAATTTATTCTATTTGACATCAAGACTTACTACAATATCATAAAAGACAATATGGTTTTAATACAGGGATAGACAAATAGGTCTTTTGAACTTAATGGAAGTTCCCAAACAGATCCAGACCCTTGTGAAATTTTGGGATGTGATAGAGGAGGTTCTAAAATTCCATATTAATAATACTTAATGAGCCTCTACTACATTCCAGGCATTGTTAGGCATTGGGATATAACACTGAATAAAAGTATACAATAAAGAAGAAAGCTTATATTTTAGAGTGATTAGACAAACATTAAACAGATAGGCAAATCTTTAACATATCAGTGAGTGCTATGAAGAAAATTAAAAATCAAAGTATGGAAAGAGGACAGAAATCTATCAGACATGGGGTATGGATGCTTTTTTTATATGGGGTAGATCAGAGAAGGCCAGTCTGGTGAGGTAATACTTGAGCAGACTTGAGTGAAATGAGCAAATAGATCAATAAGAAAAGTTTATAGTATTCAGTAAATGCTTTCTGGGACAATTGGCTTTTAATATTGGAGGTAGAATGTTAGGGTATCCCTATCTTTCATTAAAAAAAAAAAAAACCTGATTGGTTAAATACCTGCTTATAAAAATAAAATAGGATCTTGAGATAGGGAAGGACTTTTAATGAAAACAAAAATACACACAAGAAGATTAATAGATTTGATTATCTGTTTTATACAGAGGATACCTATATAATGACTTAAGGACTGGGAGCAGATATTTGCAACATATGTTAATAGCAAAGGATTAGTATCAAGAATGTATAAAGATACTTATGTAAGAAGAGATCCAAAAAACATAAAAATAGACAAAAGATATGAACAGACGTGTCTCAGAAGAGGAAATCAAAATGGCCAATAAACATGAAATGATACTTTCAATCTTATAAATTGGTGCAATGATAAAATAGCATTTTATACTCATCAAATTGGCATAAATAAGTCTGACAATAAAAATGTGTTGGTGAGGATATGGAGAGATGGGTACTCAAACTGCTGTTAGCAGTGTAAATTCATACAATTAAAACATCAAAAATAATTTGGTAAAAATTGTGTGATATATTTATAACAATGACAAAAAAAAAGTAGCAGCTGATGCTGCTTTATATATACTCGGAAACCTCATGGGATTTGGTTCCTTGGAAGGTTTAGAGTCATGGTTTATGGGACATCCCAGTTAATTGGCCTAATAACATGTTCAGTGCTTCTGTTTTACCAGAATCAACTCGATGGCAACAGGTTTACTTTTTTTTTTTGGTTCTACTTCCTAGTTTATTGCATACAGCCCGGGGTCTTAAAAGCTTGCAAGCAGCCATCCAAGACATAACAATTGGTCTCAATTCATATGGAGCAACAGAGGAAGAAGAGTCAGGAATAGGAGGAGGATATGGAATGTGTGGCTAATTGCCTCCATGAACAACTACCTCCTGTGCCATAAGACCAGAACTGGATGGTGCCTGGTTACCATTACCGAACATTTTGATCAAAGACTTTATAGAAGAATCCTGATCAGAAGGGGGAAAATGTAGAACACAATTTCAAATTCTCATGGACTCCAAATATCCTGGAGTCACGAAAGCCCGATGAACCCCTGAAAACTATTGCCCCGAGATAATCTTTAAGTCTTAAACCGAACCTTCAACCTTTCAGTTGGCAGCTGAGCTCTTAACCACTGTACCACCAGGGCTTCAAATGGGAGCATCTCCATTAAAGAAAACCATTGCTGTCCACTAGTGACCCTATAGAACAGAGTGGAACTGCCTCACTGGGTTTTCAAGGCTGTGAATTTTTATGGAAGCAGGCTGCCACATCTTTCTCCAGCAGAGCAGCTGGTGGGTTCGAACCACCAACTTTTTGGTTAGCAGCCGAGTGCTTTAACCACTGCACCATCAGGACTCCTTAATGGGAACATAGTGTAGTACAATTTTATTTCTAAAACAGAAAAAAGATGTGTAGGGAGGGGATAATGGGCTGAAACAAAAATAAGACAAAATGATAGTTTTTGTTAATTTGGGTTATGAGTACATAGGGTTTCTTAGATTATTCTTTACATTTCTGTACATTAAAAAAATTATTTTTAAACAAAAATAAAAGATGAGACAGTAGTAGCTATACCAAATATCAAAATTTACTGTAAATAAAATTGACGTAATGAAAACATTGTGCTACATTCTTAGAAAAAGACTAGATCAGTACAACAGAATAAAGAGAAAAAAATTAGACTTTAGCTCATGTAATTTTTAAACTATAATTTCATGTATTTTTTTTTTCCTTTGCAGTTAGTATATGGACTATTAACTTCTATTAGAAGTTAAATAATCTGACTTGTCATTTTAAAATTTCTAACATGTATGTACATTCACTTTAAGAACGATTTAAGGCTACAGATGGAAGCCCAACGCATATGCCTGTCTCTGGTTTACTCAACTCATGTGGATCAGGTTCGTGAATATATGGAAAATGAAAAAGATAAAGCTCTTAGCAGTCTTAAAGAGGAACTTATTTCTGCTCAAGAGGAAATGATCAAGGAACTTCAGAAAATACACCAGTTAGAGCTACAGAATATAAAAACACAAGAAACAGGTAACTGGTTCTGACAAAATCATAACTACCATGAGGCAAATAAGTATGACTTAAAGCCCATCATTTCACTGTTTCGTTTAGATCCCATAGAGGAAGGCAGCTGTATATCCCAATCCTGGGGTCTTTTGTTCGTATAATCATTGGATGTTTATTGAAGCGCCCACGAAAGCTAAAAATCACTGAAGGAAGTCACAATCCAGTGGAAAAGCATTTTTAACTATTAGAAAACCGTAGCACAGTGTCTATAACAAGAATGAACAGAGAGACTGGAAGGAGAGGAGAAAAGTCTTGTGCTTTCTAGGAAGATTAGTATGGTGACTGTGAGCAGGAACAGGGAGATTGGAATCTTAGAGAACACTCCAGAGTCTTAAGCATAGAAGTATGAGAGACTGCAGCCATTTTGGAGAATTGAGAGTTCAGGATGTGTGAGAAAGTAGGAGGGGATAAAACCAGAAAGATAGGCAGGATCTTGATCAGAAAACAGTTTATGTGACCTGAATGAAGCATGCTTAAGCTTAATACTGTTGGTAAGACATACTGCATGATTTTAAACAGGGATAGTGGCTTCATTTTTTTAATTTTAATATGTTGGAATTAATTGGAGGAGGCAAGATTAGTGGTAGGAAGACCAGTTAACTGTGGCAGTAATTCTGATAATAAGATATCGAATGAACTAAGATAGTAGTGTTGAGGATGGAAGGAAAGAGTTAAAGAGGTAGACTTTAGTCTGCAGTTGATTTTAGCAGTGAAAGGGGGAGGAACTGAGGATGATTCCTAGGTTTCTGGCTTGGGTAACCAACAGTTACAGAACAAGTTACCACTTCTTACATTCTGTAATTCGAAACTTTTAAAGACAGAACATTGGTAGGTTTAGGGATACTACAGCCATGAGTATAGAAGATATAATCTTGAATTGTGTTATTTCTTGTTTTCATCAATCAGAATAAAGGTAAACTGAAACCTGAGTTATTACCACTAAAAAGCATTTCTTTCCAAAGAAAAATGAATGTTCTCTGTAAAAAAAAAAAAAAAAAAGTAATTATGGTATTTCAGTAAGAAAATTGTATTGAAATGTACATTTTCTTTTATTCATATAACTTAGATGTCAATCATAAAAACAAGTTATCTTCTCTCCAAGATATCAAAAAAATTAAACAACTTGAAGAACAAGTTCAAGAATTAGAAAACCTCACATCCTCTTTGCAACAACGATTGAAAGAAACTGAAGAAAACTATGGAGCAGAGATCCATTCTTTGCAGGAGAGGCTTCATGCTGTTAGTGAGTCCTCTCTTCAGCCAAGGTATCTATCTGCTTATAATTTCATCCAACAGTATTTGTAGCTCAGTAATAATCATAGTAATCATGGTTATTTTAAGAAAGCAAAGTTCCTTGAAAGAGATGTGATATAGCAACATCAAGAAATAAGAGTAAGAGATAATTCTATATTCTTTGAAATGTATAAAATAAATGTTAGTGTAAACCAGACATTTTATTATAGGAATTTTACTACACTTACTTAAAGATGCTGATTGTTATTAATCTGCTGGACTAAATTAGGTGGTTTGCATGCATTTGTTGTTTATTTTATGTCTAGTCTTTGTTAGTTTGCTGTGGGGAATATAAAGTATGATCCTGCCAGTCATGATTAGACTTCCTCCACTTGGTTGTCTAATGCAGAGTCCCTGGGTGGTGCAGAGTGTTAAGTGCTGGGCAACTAACCAAGAGGTTGGCAATTTGAACCCACCAAGAGGAACCTCAGAGGAAAGGGCTGGCAAACTGTTTCTGAAAGGTCACAGCCATGAAAACCCTATGGAGTGCAATTCTCTGAAACACATGGGGTTGCCATTTGTTGGAACTGACTCAGTGGCAACTGGTTTGGGTTGTTTTGTTTGTTTTATAAATGACTGCATGTCATACATTTTAAAGGAGACTATAAAATGGTACAAAATTTAATGATGATCTGTTAAAATACTGTATCATTAAATAGTGTTATTTTACTTTTAAGTGGAAATATTAGTCAAAATATTTAATTTACAATAACTATAACCCTTGGCCCCAATACACAGGGAGCCCTGGTGGTGCAACAGTGAAGCACTCAGCTGCTAACTGAAAGGTTTATGGTTCAGACTCACCCAGTGGCTTCACAGGAGAAAGACCTGGCAGTCTGCTCCCATAAAGGTTATAGCCTAGAAAACCATATGGGGTAGTTCTGCTCTGTCACATGGGGTCACTATGAGTTGAAATCAACTTGATGACACCTAACAACAACTCCAGTGCACATTTTTTGCAGGTTATAAATTTGGATTAACAGTAAAACACAAACTCAGTTCTAATTCTTTTGCACTTTTTAATTTATATTTAGCTTCTCTGTTGATTCAATGGTAATTGCTGAATCTGATGTACAGAAAACAATTTACCCTGGAAGTTGTCTTCAACAGAATATTGATGGTACCGTAGAGGTATTATATCTTTAAAATGTTATATACACTGACCCATTTGTTTTTTGTACTATCATTTTTATGTCTGTGGTTTACTAATTATCCAATAAATATGTAGTTGCTGACAAGTAAGCATAAAAAGTATAAGGGTAATACCTTATATAAAAGACCCAAAAGAATATATAAGTAATTTAATGTATTTTCATAGCATGGGGAAAATATAAAGTTAGATTTGAAGGTTTTTTGAGGGTTTTTTTTTTTTTAATTAATTTTTTTTGTTGTTGAGAATATACACAGCAAAGCATACTCCAGTTCAACAATTTCTACATGTACCATTTAGTGACATTGATTACATTCTTAATGTTGTGCAGCCATTCTCACCTTCCTTTTCTGAATTGTTTCTCCCCATTAACATAAATTGACTTCCCCCTAAGGTTCTTATCTAATCTTTCGAATTACTCTTATCACTTTGATCCCATATAGATCTGAAAAGAGCATGCTGTTCAAGGCAGACATTTTTTACTGTTAAGCTAAATTGTTGTTTGCTTTTAAGAAGACTTCAGGGGATATTTTTGGTTTAAGGTTTAAAGATGATCTCAGGGGAATAGTTTTAGGGGTTTATCCAGCCTTCATGGATCCAGCATATCTGGACTCCATGAGAATTTGAAATTCTGTGCTGCATTTTCCCCCTTTTGATCAGGATTCTTCTATAGAATCTTTGATCAAAATGTTCAGTAATGGTAGTCAGGCACCATCCAGTTCTTCTGGTCTCATGGCAAAGGATGAATCGTTCATAGAGGCAGTTAGCCACACATTCAGTATTCTCCTTCTATTCCTGACTCTTCTTCTTCTGTTGCTTCATGAGAATTGAGACCAATTTTGTGTCTTAGATGGCCGCTTGCAAGCTTTTAAGACCCCTGGCTGTATGCAACAATCTAGGAGGTAGAACAGAAGCATTAAACATGTTAATTAGGCCAGTTAACTGGCATGTCTCATAAACAGTGACCCTAAACTTTCAAACCAAGGAATCAAATCCCATGAGATTTTTGGTTGTACATAATAAGCAGCCTTAATAGCTACCTTTTTTTTTTTTTTGTCATTGTTACAAATGTATCTATCACACAACTTTTGCCAATTCAACTTTTTGCAAGTGTACAACTTACTAACAGCAATTAGAGTAATTGCTGTGCAACCCTATCCTTATTCATTTCAGGAGGAGCTAGGGCTGGCACTCCCCAGAAGGATCTCCAAGAAATCTGTCTTATTGGCTTCAGAGCCCCAGTGGCCCTGTGGTGGTTGGGGGAGCAGTCTCCACTTAGGTGACCCACCTCCTGACTTCACTGTAAGAAACCTTCTGTCTGAGTTTGTATTAGTCCAGCAGCCAACAGCTACTGGTTTGGGGACAGGTAGTCACACTCCAAATGGACCCCCAGGGGGCTCTGCCTTATTGCTATCAGAGCCTGCCCCGCAGCATGTTGGCTGTGGGTGTAGCCTCCATTCAAGATGCCTGCTTCCTAGCACACAGCAGACTCAGTCGGCAGTCTTTAGCACCAACCAGAAGTGGGGGCAGACTAACCCTAATTGACCTCCAGGGAGGTTTGTCCTGTTGGTTTCAGAGAACAGAGCTATGGTGTGTGCTGGAAGGCAGGTAGAGTGCTGACTGTGAGAGCAGACTCCACTGCACTGGCCTTCCGTAACAACTCACAGCAGGCTTGCAGGTGACAGTGTCTGGGTGGGGGAGGGGTTGTCAAACTCCAAAGGGACCTCCAGGGAGGTCTGCCTTGTTGCTTTCAGAGCCCTGCCCTTAGTAAGTTGGCTGTGGGTAGAGCCTTCACTAAAGACACCTGCTTCCTAGCACACAGCAGCCACAGTCAGCAGTCCTCAGCACTGATCAAAAGGGGAAGCAGATAGGCCAGAAGTGACTCCCTGGTAGGTCAGTCCTGTTGATTTCAGAGACCAGAGCTATGGGGTGCACGGGGAGGCAGGCAGAATGTTGACTATGAGAGCCGACTCTACTGCATGGGCCTTCTGTAACAATTCACAGTAGGCTGCAACTAACAGTGTACAGGTAGAGGAGGTGCTGTTACACTTTAAACTGACCCCCGGGAAGGTCTGCCTTGTAGATTTTAGAGCAGAAGCTGGGGGCCCTGGCTGTTTGTACAGACAGTGGCTATGGTGGTTAGGGAAGCAGGCTTCTTTTTTTGGAGCCACTTCCCCAGTTCACAGCAGCCAGCAGCCTGCATGGCTAGGGGAAGGGCAGGGGCAGTGGGAGAAGTGATTTTCCTACCATATGTGACTCATTGATGATTTGTTGATTCTCACCTGTCTGAAGTTCCCAGCTGCTTTTCTCTGCTTCCGAATTCAGAGTCCCTCAAAGCTGAGTACTGTTGCCTTGTATTTGTGGGAGAGGGTCAGAACTATGGGAAGCTCTTGTGGCACAGTGCTTCAAGCGATCAGCTGCTAACTGTAAAAAGGTCGGTGATTTGACCCCCCCCCCCCAACTTCATGGGAAGAAGATGTGGCAATCTGCTTCCATAAGGATTTACAGCCTTGGAAGCCGTATAGGGCAGTTCTACTCCATGCCCTATAAGGTCGCTATGAGTTGGAATCAACTCAGTGGCAGTGGGTTTAGTTTTGTTTTTGGTTTGGTCAAAACTGTGGTCTGTTTACGCATTTACGCTTCTTCCCAGAATCCTTTTTTTTTTTTTTTTAAGTAAGTGCTAGTTTAAAATTTGTATTGTTTCGTGTAACATTTATAAGCTACATAACATCAGTTTCAGTGCCCTGGCGAACATAGCTTCTTTTTCCACCTTGAGAAGTTGGACCAGTCCATCTCTAGACTAGTGTTTAGGAATTCCATAATACGAGATGATTTTAGGCTGGGGCAATGAATAAGCATCTTCCAGCACAGGTCTTTTGACATATGAAAGCCCTTCATCTTTTGCAGTATATGTCATCTATCTAAACCACCCTCTGCCCCCACTCACCATTTATGTATTCCCAGTTTGTGGCCACTTTTTTCAAAGCCACAACTGCAAAACCCTGGTCTTCATTTAGTAGATTTTTAGCTCCTATGTCTTACAGAAAATAAAGATTATTGCCCTCTCTCTTTCTGGATTGTATTACCTTACTTTTAAGTAGGGAGAGATTGGCCACATTCTCGATTCTTCCACAGTCATTCCATATGGAGTATCTGTTTAGATAAAGTTCAGATAAGAGGTAAATGAAGAAACACATGCTGAGAACGTGTTCACATTCAAAAAAAGTTTATGGTTTTTTCTGTTTATAAAGTAATTTGCATTTGTAGGAAATTGGATACTGTTAATAAGTACCAGAAGAAAAGAAAATTAGCTTATAATTTCATAAAGGTAGCCACTGTTAACATTTTACTTAAAATTAAATGTGCACGCACACGCACACACACACACAGACTTGCATATGATTAATAAATAAGAAATATCCCTACTCCAAGGAGCCTTGGTGGCGCAGTGATTAAAGTGCTTGGCTGCTAACCTAAAGGTCAGCAGTTCAAATCCATCAGCTGTTCTGCGGGAGAAAGATGTGGCAGTCTGTTTCACATCTTTCAGCTTTGGAAACCATGTGGGGGTAGTTCTACTCTGTCCTTACAGGGTTGCTATGAGTTGAAATCGACTCAATTGCAATGGGTTTGGTGCCTGGATTCCTTCCTCACCCTAGAAGTATATGTTAGGAGTTGTAAATATATAAATTTATTTCTCTCTTTACATATTCAGTTGTTAAGTTCACAATAGTTAAGTACAGTTATTTAGTAGAGTTACGAGTTACTCACTAGAATTTGTTTTTAATTAAAGAAAAGTTAAATTTATTATGTTTTTCTGAGAGTATCCAGAAGTTTTCTAAGAAATAGTGATATTTTGAGGACATTTTCAGAATAGAGATTTAAAAGTCAGTTGTGCAAAGTTAGTGTAAATAAATATCATGTTTTCTTTTTAATTTAGTTTTCTGGTGAGTTTGGACTAAGACAGGAAACAAATATGACTAAGTTGATGGAAAAACAGTACCAAGAACGATTAGAAGAAGAAGTAGCTAAGGTAAGTTTTATCGTTTATCCTAAAGATTATCATAGTTTAGAGTCCCCATGAGCCTTCAAAAAGCATAGATTTTATTGATGGCAATGTACTTTATTTTTAATTGTAAATTTCATATATAGCTCCTCTTTAAATTGTCAGATACGGTATCAGCTACTGTTCCTGTAAATGGAATTTTCTCTATTTTTCTTTCAAGAGGCATTCCTCTTTTGATGTAAAATAGTAAGTAGAAACTTTTTCGAATGCCAAAATAAGGCTTTGTCCTTTATATATGTGTTACTTTGTGAGTAGGATTGAAGGAGTTTGATCTTTTTTAAAGGGGTGGAGGGAAAGGTAGGAAATGAGAGGGAAGGTGGTTGACCCTCCATAAATTACCTGTACCTTGCCCCACCCCTAGAAGTTACTGCAGTGTTAGATAATGACTGCAGGTACTAGGTGAGGATTACCATTGAACATTAGCTCCTAGCTAAGCAGAGGAGTTTATCATATGGGTTTTACTCATTTCTACATCTTAGCTGCTTTGCACAGAGTTATTCTTGTGTACTCTTAAATATCAACCATATCACCTAGTCTACCATTAGGGCACCATTTCTTTTCTTTTTATATTCCCCTTTGAAACGTATACACTTCAGTGGATTTGTTATATTGGAACAGTTGAACTATTCTAAAAGGGAAATATTTATTTAAAAGGGGGAGAATTGATGGGATATACAGGAAATACACAAAGAATTGGGGAAAAAACAAATTAGATGAGGACATCAAGACCAAAGGAAGTATGCAGGCCACAGGGATTTATTCACTTACTGTGGCTGAGCTGATTATTTAGTTCTGTAGCTTTCTGAAGATCAAAGTGAAAAGTGAGGTGCTATCATTTTTATATAGCTTTCATTGTCTGGTTCTTTAGAGGAATCCAAGTTTTCTCTTGGACCTAGCTCTTGCATAAAAATCTCAAATGGAACGTTATAGCAAGATATCATAGTATAGTGATTAAGAGCATGAGGTTTGATATAGGATATACTATGCTTTAAATTCTTGTTCTTTTGGTTTACTAGATTCATGACCTTAAAAAAGTTAGGAAACATTTAGGGAAAGTCTCAATTCCCTATATATTAAAAGAGGAGAATAATAGTAATTGTTTTGAGGTTTCAGTGAGCTAATACATAGAAAGCACCTGGCAGATCAGCTGATACATAGTAAGGGCTCATAAATTATATTTTTTAAGTAGTCTCATTACTGTGATAATTGTGATGACATAAGATGTTTTGTGAAGTGTCTCTCACCCAAGGTAATAGCAGAGCACTAAAGGATAGGTCAGTGAAAACTATTGCAAAAGCACCAAGGTACTGTGGTCCAAGACACAACATTTAATAGCTCAGCTTGGGTCTAGAAGAACATAGATTATTGACATTAGTCATCAGTACTGATGGAATTGTGCTGAACCCCTCAGATGTGATGATGTGAAAAAGATTGAGAACAAGTGCTCAATAGCCAGGCTGTATAAAAGAAGCCCAATAGAGGTAGTGGCTCCCAGTATAGATCAGATTAGATCGAGTGTGATTTGGGTACATACTACTGAAAACAGACATTTATTTACATTTCACTGTCAGGCAGTGTTTTGGGTGCTGGGATGTAGCACAGAACAAAAGAGATGAAAGCTTTGGTCCTGTAGAACTTACATTCTAGTTGGGGCAGGTAGGCAATATATAGCTGGTGATAAGTGTTATGAAGAAAAAAATAAAGCAAGGTAGCAGGACTAGGAAATTGCATGGGGAGTGAGATGCTGTGATTTTATATAGGTTGGTCAGGGAAGGCCTCATTTTTAAAACGACATTAGAGTGAGTCCTAAAGGAAGTGAGGGGGTGAATCATGAAGGTACTAGGTTGAGGACCTTCCAAGGAAGTGGGATGTAAGAGAAAGAAAAGAGTCAAGAATTACTCCAACAGAGGCCTCCAAGAAGTGATCAAGGAGACTTGGCTAGAGTTTGTGAAGGCTGCTTGCCCAGCCACCAGCTTTGCTGAGTTGGAGGCAGTTTGATTCAGTCCTCCCACCCCCATACTCATGGAACCCGTTCAGTGAAATATTGTGAAATGTTGGCACAGGTTTATTTGCTCAGCAAATATGACTGGATATAGGAGGAAGAAATAGAGGGTTTCCCTCCAGGGGGAAGAATTATTGCAGGTTGTTTGACCTCAGCAGCTGGAAGAATGGAGTTGATATTTACTGAGTTGCCTTTAGTAGGATAGAGAAGACAGCATAGGAGTAGTTTTTAGAGGAAAGTGGGAGACTAGCTTTTGATGCATTAAATGCAAAGCATTTATTAGATGTCCAGATATAAATGTTGAGGAAGTGGTTGGATATATAAATCTGGGGTTCAGGAAAGAGGATGAAACTAGAAATGTAAGTGCAGGAAGTAACATATAGGGCAGTGTTTTCCAAACAGTGAGTTTTTTAACCCATTTTTAGATCATGAAATCAATTTAGTGGGTTGAGCCCAGGGTTTTAATATTAATGGAATGGTTCAATTACATAAGTACACACATATACACATACAGGTACATATATTTTTCCTGGATTGTAATGGAAAATGTGTTTTGTTTTTGTTTGGTTTGGTTTTTTATCACGGGTTGCAGTGAAAAAAGTTTGAACAACAATGACCTAGGGAGTGACAGTAGATAGAGAAGAGGTCTGGAGACTGAGCCTGGACCACACCAACACTTAGACGTCAGAGAAGTAAGGAGGAACAAAGATGAAGAAGGACCAGCAAATTAGATAGGGAAAGAACCAAGAGTAGTGTTATAAAAGGCAAGTAATAAAAATATATCAAGAGGAGATCACATTAAACTATGTCAGCTGTTTCTGATAGGTCAGGAAAGATTCAAACAGCAGACTAATCATGGGTTAACAACGTGGTATCGTGGGTGAGTCACTAGAACACATTTGGTGGAGTGGTGGAGACAGACTGAGTTTGAGAGAAAATGGAGAAGGATGAAGAGACAGACTCTTGAAGAGTTTTACTTAAAAGGGAAGCAGAGAAATGCATTGGTAGCTAAAGGATGGTGTAGGGTGGTCAAGTGGTAGATTTTTGTTGTTGATGTTTTGTTTAGATAAGAGATATATTTACATGCTAATTGAAATGGTCTAGGAGAAAAGGAAACAACTTGCTGATTTAAGAAAGGAAGGGGGCTATTGCTGGTACTCTTGAGTAGATTAGAACAGATGAAATCCAGTGGGTGGAAGGGGGGATTAGATAGGAGGATGACAGTTTAGTCTAGAATAAAAGGAAGGAAGGCAGAGAATAGTTAATTCACGATTCAGGTATGTTTTTAGATGTGATCATTGGAGCCTGTGGAAGTTCTCTCCTGACTGTTTCTGTTTTCTCACTGAAGTAAAAAGGAAGGTCGCCGCCTGAGAATGAGAAGGAAAGAGAGGTATTGGAATTTTAAGGAGAGAGGAAAGGGCTGTTAAGGAAAAGGAATGAGAAATGGAGTGGACTGAGGAAATGTAGTAGAATTGCCTTCTGATATCACTAAGGACTTGGTGTATTATTTCCCCCCCCCCGCTTCCCCCCGGTTGGGTTCTGCTACCCAGACACAGCCACAGAGTAGGCAGAGTTAATTTTAAGCAGAAGTGGAGTTTTGTTAGAGGTGTATAGTGAAGGGAGAAGAGAGACTAACAAGAGAGTTGAGTGTGTTTTTTTAATTTCCACACCATGGAGTTCTTATAATTATTTTTGTGATTGATTTCTAATCTAAATGCATGTACAAAAAAAGTGATCTTTATGATATCAATTATTCAAAATTTCGAAAGCTGCTTTTGTGGCCTAGCATGTGGTCCAGTGTTGGGAGTTTTTTTTGTTATTGTTTGTAACCATCTTTATTGAGATATATTTACATACAATAAAATTCACCAATTATAAGTGCAAAATTGGGTGAATTTTAACAAATGTTTGCAGTTGTAAAACATTTCTATCACCCCAAAATTTCCTCATGCCCCCTTGGAGAGATAGTCCCGTCTCTTCATATATTGCTGGATTTGATTTGCTAATATTTTGTCAAGAGTTTTTATGTCTGTGTTCATGAGGAATATTATCCTTAGTTTTATTTTCTTTTAATGTCTTTCCTTTTGATATCAGGGTACTGGCCTCATAAAATACTGGATGTTTTCTCCTCTTCTATTTTCTAGAAGAATTCATGTAGAATTAGTATCATTTAATCCTTAAATATTTTGTCTCACATTTGTCAGTGAATCCGTTCAGGCCTGAGTTTTCTTTGTTGGAAGATTATTTAAAACTGTGAATTCAATTTCTTTAATAGATTTAGTTTTATTCCGTTTGTCTGTTTTCTAGTGAGCTTTGGTGGTTTGCGTCATTCAAGGAATCCGTCCATTTCATCTAAACTGTTGAATTTATGTATGTAGAGTAGTTTGTAATATTCCTCTTACCATGTAATGTCTGTTTCATATTTTCCCTGCTCACTTTTTTCTTAGTCTGGCTGGAGGTTTATTGATTTACTGATATTTTCAAGGATCTGGATTTTGGTTTCATTTTTTTTTAAATTGTCTTTCTGTTTTTATTTTCATTGATAATTACTCTTTATTATTTCTTTTTCTGCTTGCTTTGGATTTAATCTGCTTTTGTTTTTCTAGTTCCTAAAATAGAAGCCTAGATCCTTGATTTGAGGCCTTTTTTCTTTTCTAGCATATGCATTTAATACTATAAGTTTCCCTATTTAAGCTGAATTCTATAAATTTTCGTTCAGTTAAAAATATTTTATTCACCTTGTGACTTCCTGTTTGATTCATGGATTATTTAGTAGTGTGTTGATTTCCACATATTTCAGAATTTCCAGATATCTTTACGTTGTTGATTAATTAAAAAATTAAATTTTAAATTTCTGTGTGATCAGGTAACATACCTGGTATTATTTCTGTTATTTTAAATTTATTGCCCAAGATACGGTGTATATGGGGCAATGTTCCATGCATACTTGAAAAGAATGGTATTCTATTGTTCAAATTTCAAGTTTCCCTCTAGTGTTATTTCCCTTTATCCTGAAAAACATCCTCTAGCATATTTCTTTTAGAGCAGGTCTGCTGACAAGCAATTTGACATACAATGAATTGTGTATCTTCTAATTTTGAATTTGAAGACTTTGAATGTTATATTGTGTAGACTCTGGGTTTCATTATAATCCTCTGGCAAATGTCATTTTTTTCTTAAACAGGCGATCACCTGTTTAGGTTCAGACCACAAATTTGATTTCATTTTCCCATACAAATCGCCTCTCTAAATTTTGACTCTCTCCTGCCCACTTTTGTTTACTTTTCAGAGTTCTCAAGTAGTTGCTTTTTGTATTTTGTTCAGTTTTTAGTTGTATTTAGTGAGAGAAAGAGACTGTAGTGGGCTTACTTTATGCTGCCAGGAATCGTAAGTCTCTGTTTCATGTTATCCCACAACTTAAGATGCAGTTATTGCTGCTTTACACTATCAGTTATCTAGATTTATCCACATATTTACCAAAAAAAATTTTTTTATGCTCTAATCCTTTTTGCATCTCACACTTTTCTTCTAGGATCATTTTTTTCCTGCTTTTTAAAGGACATTCTTTAGAACTTCTTTTACTGATAATCTGTTGAAAGTAAGCTCTGTTTTTATTTGTCTTTGTTTAATAAAATGTTGCTTTTGTTCATGAAAGACAGTTTTGTTGAAAATCTGGGTTGACAATTACTTTTATGTCAGAACTTTGAAGATAACATTCCACTGTTTTCTGCCTTCTCGTTTCTACTGTGAAGATGTATTTGTCAGTTTAATTGTTCCCTAATAGGCAATACATCTTTTTTCCCTGGAAGCATTTAAGATCTTCTTTTGTTTTTGATGCTCTCTTTATTACTCCTTCTTATGATTCATTGGTCTTCTTGAATCTTAGGATTTCCTCAATTCTGTAAAATTTTCAGCCTTCATCTCATGAAATAGCTCCTTTCCACTGTTCTCTATTATATCTTCCTGGAACTCTGATTAATATTGGTTGAACATTATCATTGTATCCTTCGTATCTTTTTACTTTCATATTTTTAATCTTTTTGCCTTTTCATGTCACATTCTTAGTATGGAAAGACAAAGAGATAAACAGGCCAGGTTAAAGACAGTGATTTAAACAAAAGCCCCATCTTAAGGTCTAGACCACTAGTTAAACAAGGCTGAAGGAATATTTGGTTAAGCTGATCATCTAGTTCACCAATTCTTTCATCTCTGTCTTTTGCCTCTTTGCTTTAATAGGCATATATTCCAGATGACAGTGTCTAGAACATTATTATCAAATTCTGGTTCAGTCTGGGCTAGCATAGGCATCTAAGAGATCCAGTTTGGTAGGTGAGGTAAATAGTAGGATTCTCTGGGCAGAAGAAATACATAGTGTTTAAGGTATTTGAACTCTGTACAATTTGATTCAGATTTCTGCTCTACTGTTTTTTAGATACGTGATATGGTTCCTAATCTTGCTGTACTTCAGTTTTCCCTGCACTGACTGTTAGTATTATAATTATTCCTCCTATTTCAGTTGTACCCTTGTACTCCTAGGAAGATTTGTTGTGATAATGGAGGTAATAGTACAATGTCACATTTTAGAAGGTGAGCTTATGGTAAGACTGCAGGATTCCAAACCCCAGCTTCTACCACTTATTTACTTTGTGTTTTGGGGTCAAATTACTTAATTTCTTTCCTCCTCAGTTTCCTCATCTGTTAAATGTGGGGTAAAATAGTACCTGCCTGGTAGGGTGTAGTGAGGATTAAATGAAATAATACAAGGGCTTAATAAATTATTACTGCTGCATTTATTGTTGTTTTTGTTATCATCAGTATTATTTTTATTGAAGCAGGACTCCATTCAGCAGCTGGAGGACATAGCATCTGGGAGGAAGGAGGTTAGCAAGAACCAGGTGGGAATCAGGACCCCAGATAGGCCGATCAGGTTCAAGACAGGAAATTAAAGCGAAAGGTCAGTTATACAGCCTGGATCAACGGGGAAAACAGTTAGAGAAAGCTGAAGGTCAGTAGGCGCAGAGGTTTCTAACCCCAGGCATGCCTTATCCTGGGCTTATGGCAGCCAGACTTTCCCCACTGCAAAGTATCTGTGCAGATGGGACTTGAAATAAAGTTGTTGGTTCTCAAAGGCTTTGGGGCTTGTGAGACCCAAGGCTGCTGGTTAGAGTTTCTAAGTACCTGTGCTGCATGGAGAAGCCCAGATGGCACAGTGGTTAAGCACTCAGCTGCTAATTGAAAGGTCAGCGGTTTGAACCCACCAGCTGCTCTGCAGAGAAAGAGGTGGCAGTCTGTTTCCGTAAAGATTTACAACCTTGGAAACCCTGTGGGGCAGTTGTACTCTATCTTATAAGGTCACTGTGTGTCGAAATCAATTTAGTGGCAATGGGTAGTAGTAGTAGTGCTGCATGGGACTAAAATAAGCAGGGAATCAGGGTTATAGTCGTAGCAGAAAGTCAAATTGGATTAGATTGAAATGTATAATAATACAACTCCTAAATAACAGTGTTTCACTTCATGAAATATATCATAAGGAAATACGAAAGCATATGCATGATGACGTAGTTACAAAAATTTAATCACAATGGTGTTTAAAATAGTATAAGAATGAAATCAGTCTAAATGTCCAACAATAGAGGATTGATTAAATTTATAAGATATCTATATAATATGAATCTCTGAACTCAGTTAAAATTACATGGAAATGTATTCCTTGATGGGAAAACGTATTTATATAGGGTTGCTATGAGTTGGAATTGACTCAACAGCAACGAGTTTTGTATAGTTAAGCTATAAAAGCAGATTAAAATATTAGAGTATGATCACATTTTGTAGGAAAAAAAACTCATGTCTGTGTCTATTCATATTTGTATCTATAAAGAAGAGGAAGATTTGGAAAAGTATTTACTAAAGTGTTAGTAGTGATTTTTCTTGGATAAGAGCAATAGATTGGCTTATATTTTCTTCTTTCTAATTTCTGTACTGAACATTTATTGCTTTTGTAGTAAGAAAAAATTTTGTATTTTGATTTTCAAGGATAGGCGATAAATATTTTGACATTAGATTATAAATAGAGAATCTCTATCACTATATCACTTTATCATAGAATTTCTTTTTGTTTAAAACTATGAGGCCGTGCTTTTTTTCTAATTCATGTGATTTTGAGTGGTAACTTACTTCTTTAATTCTTGGTGCTGTTTATAAACCTAATCCTTTTTTGTTGTTCTATTTTTTTAGGTCATTGTGTCAATGAGTATAGCATTTGCTCAACAAACTGAATTGTCTAGGATATCTGGGGAAAAAGGAGATACCACACCATCAAAACAACCACATGTTCTCTGTCAGCAAGAAGAACATTTTTTAAATGAAGTGAAATTATCACAGGATGAAGTTTCTTTTCAGACTTTTGAAACAAAAGACATGAAGTTTAAAGAAGAATTTAAACCACTTAGTAAAGAGTTAGGAGAAGATGGAAAGCAAGTTCTATTATCAAATAATGATAATCTTGATGAAATCCTAGAATCAAAGGATCATGAACTGACTATTTCAGAAGAAATGTTCTCCAGAGATAAAACATTTGTATTTGGAGAATCTGTAAGTATGCTTTCCTTGAAATACAGCACTTACAACTAGTTGTGATTTCCTTCACTATAAAAATATTAGCATTAATACTGCTTAGTGGAGGAGGAAGAAAGTATCAAATGAAATCTTGACCTATGATTCACATTATTAGTGTTTTCTTAGTTGTAAGGTATATGAATATGTGACTTAATTTTAGTATTAGAATTTTAAATCTGGTTCATAATATTTTCATTTGTCTTCTATGCATCTTGCATGGTAAAATCTCATTTTAAGTTACATCTACACTGATTTTGTTTCAGCCAATTCAGGATTAATTATACTACAATTTGACAAGATCTATGAATAAAAGATTTGCTAAATTAAATATGGCAGTAATATTGCAAGGAAATAGTTACTATTTAAGAAGACAGTTTAAAGCATTTTACTATCTGTATACCAATTCACTTATTCTTTACGTATTCATTAATGGAGGATCTGTTCTGTGTCTATACTTCAACTTTATTGCTACCTTTAACGGAAGTTATAAATCTTACTTTTAAAATTACCTGAATTCAAATTTTTTTTATGTTTGATAGGTTATGTCTTATTCAGAGGCATATTCAAATAAAATTGTCAACATTTTTTTATGAAATTCAAAACTGGTGAAGTGTTCATGAAAACCTTTAATTTATCAGCAATTGTTTAAGGCAAAAAGACTCATTTAAATAATCTCTTCATGAATGGAATTACTCCTCGAAACCCATTAAGGAGTTGATTTCTTATGAGTATGAGAAATTAGAATATAAAACTTTTATTTCCAAATAAAATTTATTGAGAATAGTTTTTTATCAAGCAGTTCTCTATAGTACTGTGATAATAACTCCATAATATAAATTATCTGGTAAAATTTTTCATATTTTATAAATTTAATTTTAAATATAAATATTTCATTCGTATTGTTTTTCCATTATAAAATGTCAAGAGGAATAATGGAGTTATAGCTTCATTAAGAGTAGAAGGAATTTTTAATCTTTCTTTATTTTCCCACCTTAGAATTAAATTACATCTGAATTAACACTGATGCATAGCAATTTTGGTTTTGGAGAATAACATGTATAATAATGATAAACTAACTTCATGTTGATTTGGAACTATAATTAAGAAAATACCTCTTAAAGTTACCTGAGTTTTAGTTTAATAATGGAAATTTAAAAATCGGGTACTTTGTGGGGTTAGTAGTAGAATTGCTTTCATATTTATTTAAAAATATCAATGCTGACAGATTTTCACAAAATATGATTGAATTTTTATTTTTTTTACTATTGTAGATCCATGATGAGGTTTTGGTGTCCAGCATGGATGCTTCTAGGCAGCTAATGTTAAATGAAGAACAGTTGGAAGATATGAGGCAGGAACTTGTAAGGCAATACCAAGAACATCAACAGGCAACAGAGCTATTAAGGCAGGCACACATGCGCCAGATGGAGAGACAGCGAGAAGACCAGGAACAACTACAAGAAGAGATTAAGAGACTTAATAGGCAATTAGCCCAGGTATGGGACTAATAGTCCCTTTTTCCCCAATTAAAATAGAAGTATTTTTTATTTAGCCTTAAAAAAAGTCAAAATTATTTGCCAAGATCTGAGTAAACTACAAATATTTAACATCAGGAACAGACACCAGCAGCACAATAGCCTTAGGTCTTGTTAGGGACACCTAACTCAACCTTGGAGTGCATTGTCTTCCTACCAGTTTACTTAACTGCTTTTCAGGCACTGGAAAAGGGGCTACAAGGTTGTTTTTTGTTTGTTTTTAAATCATTCCATTAACCATGCATAGCAAAAACTCTTTGACAATCTTGGAACACTTTGTACTGAGGTGCTCTAGTGTGCAGTTGATACCATTCAGTTTTTCCATATTCATTTATAGTTTTGTGAGTCTGCCAGTAAACCAAGGTTTACTTTTCTCTGTCTTTCATCTGTGTTTTTAATCATGAACGGAAATTTTCTGAAGCAGTATGTTTCTGGAACTTTCTCCAGGGAAACATCTCTTCTTAATTTAAAAAATGCAAATTTATATAACATTCTTATTCCTTTTCTTGACTAAATTTAAATCCTTGGCATTTGGGAGCTGGATTCTTGACAATTATCATATATATTATGCTCACAAAATCATTGCAGAAAAGCAAGAAGTAATTATGTGAAATTTCTTTAAAAACAAATGTATTGAACATGATTTTGAAAACTAAAGTAAAAGGAAAAATATAGAGAACTCTTAAAATATATTCTTTCAAATATATATTAATAGGAAAATTGAGACTTGAACATAAAATACATCATTTGGAAAATTTTTTAGTTTTGCTTTTCCACATTGCATTTTGTGAATTCAAACTTCTGAAATTTCAATGCAGAATTGGCATATAAAAATAATATTAAATGAGCTATACAAATTTCTAAGTACTTAGTCTTAATTTTTTTTTTTAAGTTTCAAATTTTGCATTGAATTTTATATATGCTTTTAACCCTTATGATGGGATATGAATCAGAGATAGAATCGGGGCCTGTTAGTCCCAAGGGGTTAAAAGAAATCTAATATTTCTGCTTTTTTCCTCTGTCGCAAACAATATTCTCTCATGACCTTTTTTCTTATTTAGAGATCCTCAATAGATAATGAAAACCTGGTTTCAGAGAGAGAGAGGGTGCTTTTAGAGGAGCTGGAAGCGCTAAAGCAGCTGTCTTTAGCTGGAAGAGAGAAGCTGTGTTGTGAGCTGCGCAGCAGCAGTACGCAAACACAGGTAGTATGGACTTTGGCCCACCTAGGAGCAATGGATCAGCAATGCAGTAGGATTTGTTTGTCTTTGTCGTTGGTGTGAGATGTATTTTTTATAGGCATTGAGCTTAACATATTTGTGATTGCTTACATGTAAGGTAGGTGGAGTTGAAGTGCCTTACGTTCTATTTAAGGTAATTCGAACATGACCTTGCTATATAGCAGCAGCTGTTGTTCCACTAAGGAGCAACCTAACAAACTTCATTGTAGCACTATGGCATGCATTACCTTGAATCCTTTAACATTTTTTTTCATCTGTGCACTAGAATGTTTTATCTTTTTTTTGATAACGATAATCTCTTAATAAAATATAGTTAAATATTATTTCGGACAGTATCTGTCTCGTGCACAGAGGTTTCTGTTTTGCCTCAATAACAATATGGAACAATGACATGCTATTTCCAAGATGACAGGTTTTCCTTCTGTCTTGTCCTCACTACCTTTACACAAACTTGTACAGAGTGAAAATGAAAACGAAGGGGAAGTTGAGGAACAGCCGTTTAAAGAAAAGGAATTGGACAGAAAACTGGAAGATGCACCTCCTGATATTCTGTCCAGTGAAAGGTATACAGAACGTGTACTTTTTCAATACAAAGTGAATTAAAATGATTGTTTTGATGTATTAAACTTTTGTGTCTTTATTTTTATCTCATACACTTACACTTTGTCTTAAAAATCTTTGCTTATTTGTGTGTGAAAGATATCCATATATGTATCATATGTAAAGGGTGATCAGTTTTTAGTCATTAAAATAGACTAACAGAAATTTTGATAAATCTTTTGTATATAGAATAATTTTTGATTGGATATATTGATCATGTACTTAAATCAGTAAATAGTAAGGCATTTCTTGGATGTTGAACCTTTCTTCATTTTATTGTTCTGATATGCTATTTTTTATACTAAAAAATCCACTTGTACTTACAAGTTTATTTCATCCCTATATGGACATGCATTCAGTATAAGCTACCCCCTAGTTTGTTTATGCTGAGGAAAAAATTACTATAAATGTGAATTTTCCACATTCAGCTTTTTTCATGCATTTACTGCATAGCAGATGAGAACTTTTAATCTAGTTTTTTAGAGGATAATGTTCATCATCTGATGGTAACAAAACTTTTCCTTAGTTTAATTTTATAAAGGTTAATATAAAAATATAAAATATTAAATAAGAGTAGTTATACCATATTAATATTAAAAACTTGAAGCACAGTATTTTAAAATTTGTTTTGTTCAAATGAAAATAATTTAGTGTTAAACTAAAACTAATTTTCTACTAACTTAATTTCCTCGTTTTCCAATTTCTGTGACTGTCAACCCTCTTGTGTCCTCCTAACCTCCTTCCTCAGCTTGCATGGAGGGATTTGGCCCCTAAGATTTTGGCTTCCCCATTGGATCATCAGTATGGAACACAGTCAGTATGGAATTCAAACAAGAAAGACAGTGTATGAAAATTAGAGTTACCATAGCAACATGAAATAAACATTGTTTATTTTATATTGTTTATATTATTTATCTCCAATTGGTATGTTTTAAAAAATTATGCAGTGTTTAATTTTTAGGAATTTTTCTAGTGAGTGCTGATAAAATAAGTATTCATATATATTTATATATGTGTGTATATATATGTATATTTTTAAACTATCATTTCTTATAAGTAAAAATATTTTCAAATTGCCTAGTCCTGGGGTTTGGGGCTAGAACAAACTTCATGAAAAGTAAAGGAAATAAAACCCTTGACTTAACTTCCTAGTAACTAAATTATTTAGAGTTTTATTTTTAATTCCTTATGTAAGCAGAGAATTTAATCTAGGTGCAAAAATAGAACTGTCTCTTTCACTTGACAAATACTGGAGGAAAACCTCTCCACTTACTACCTTGTCTTAAAATAGGTATGTCACGTGCCATTGAAAACTGATATCCTTTAACCTGATTGTTAGTAATCTCTGACAGTCTGAAGTTGAGAGAGAAAACACTTAGGCAGACGAGTATTACCATGAAAGTCTTATTTTGTCTACATGTATTATAAAGTTTGCCACTGTAGTGTCTTTGTTGAATTAAGCTGTTGGGAAGAGAGAGTTGTGTAGTTATTTAGAAGATTAATTCACATTAACTGATTAATCTTCTGAATCATCATTTGTAGAAGTATATTTCTTGACATGGAAAATTTTCATGTTAAGCAAAAAAAGCTTACAAGACACTTTGTCTAGGATAATCCCGTTTTTGTTTCAAATGTATATGTTTATGAAAGAGACTGGTTCAGGGGGAGTGTAGGATAGGATTAAAATGTTAACAGTGATTACCTCTGGGTAATGAATAGCCATGAACAGTATTACTAGCTCAGTAACTTACATCTGCTTGTATACCACTACACTTATTAAATTTAAATTTTGCATCTCGACATTTTCTTCTAATCTAGAAACTGTACTGGCTTAAAAGTTTATTTATTTGACATCTTTCCAGTCAATAAAATGCTACATTTTTTTAAATGTTATAGTTCCCTGACTGACCAAATTTTTTCAGAAGAAAACAAATCATTTCATAATGTAATTATTGAAAAAAAAGAAAACAAAAAACACTTCATTGTAGGTGCTCTTGCAAATTATTTTAGTAGAGGATCATGTATTTTTATTTTTCAAATAAGATATATTGTACATTTTTTGTGGGACATAAGCAAAGTGTTTGCTTTAAAAAGATTAAAACATTCTAACAAATGTGTCTATCTATACAGGTATGCACTACAGAAAGCTAATAACAGACTTCTGAAGACCCTCTTAGAAGTGGTAAAGACAACAGCAGCTGTTGAAGAAACTATTGGTCGCCATGTCCTTGGGATTCTGGATAGATCTAGTAAGGGCCAGTCATCTGCCAGCCTCATTTGGAGGTCAGAGGCAGAAGCACCTATAAAGTCATGCATCCATGAGGAACACAGAGGAGGTACTAGTTTTATATGCTGATGAAACTGTCATGATTATATTCAACAAGTCTTGCTGAATTCAAGGGACTTTGCAATGTGTTGAAAATACAGAGGAGAGAGTATTGAAGTGTTCTACCACAAAAAGCCTTCCAAATACATCAAAGGCACTCCTCTCAAAACATCATTATTGTTATAGCATTGGCAGGTGAATGTCTTAGAGTTGTCATCATAGATACCCATGGTTGCTAATATGTCTATATAAACCAGAAGGCTGTTTTATTTCTCTACCAATAGAAGTAAAATTCCACATCCCCACTCAGACTATTGTCAATATCCATAAGGTATTAGCAGCATCCTGAAACCACCCTATAAATTAAGGAAAGTTTAGAAATAGAGAGTTTTTAAGAATGAAACACCAGTTTCGCATACCTGTTGATATGGTTAAAAGAAAGTATAAGAAACCCAAGATTTGATCTTACCTTTGGACTTTCCTGTGCTAAGTCCCTTCCTTCCTTCAGCAAAGTTGTTTGAAATATGACAGAATGTGTGTAGATCTAGAGATAGGTCCTAACATGATGTAGCCATCTTACTTATTCCAGCCTTGTGGGCTAAACCCTTATTTTAGTGTCACGTTGCGGACCTCCAGTCACTTGTTTTTTCACGACTTTTGCTTGCTGGAGAAGGAATCAGGAAATCAAAAGGGGGAAAAGTTTTCGTTAGATGGAGAAAGATGGGATCTGGACTCTTGAGTGAGAAGATCAAACAGTTCACAGCCATTCCGCAACCAAGCACTTCTCCCAGTTAGGAGACTTTCTAAAATGCCAAGAATTTATGCACTTTTTGAGAGCATTCTATTTAAGCTCCATGTGGATGAATGGGGAGAAATTATCCCACTTATGGAAGATTTACTTATTTACAAGTTGGTGAGTAGCATGTTTCTAAGTGCATGGAAAAGCTTGATTGGAATTTTAAGTAAAATTAAAAACACCTCAGTTGAGTTCAAAGACAATTTTAAAAACTAGCTTTTAGTAAAATAAGAACTGAAATAATGCCATATTTTAAAATCTCCTTTAGAATTTTACTCTTTTGAAACTTGGTAGAATTATTTTTTTCAAGTCAGCTTCATTCTTAGTTAAGCTCTTAATCAAGGGCTATTTTATTTTTGCATATAATCTGGACTGTTGAGAAGAATAAGGTAATATTTTCTTGTTCTCAGTGGAAAAGATGTTTATCAAATTACACTTTTTAAAAAACAATTATTTCATAGACTTGTTTCACTTAACTACCTAGGGAGGGATTTTGCTGTTCTTCTAGTAGTACTTAGACTAGATTGACTCCCACGTTCAGAAGACACTCTGAAAAATGTTCTGTAGATCATAAAAAACACTTTTGTTGTTGTTAGCACAAAAAAATGCTAAAATTTCTCTTAGACGTTTCTCAACGTGATTGCTGAAGTGTTTGGCACCTCAAAACAGAAAACTCAATTCTGTAACTGTTCCCATAGTTATAGAAGGAAAGTAACTCAAGTACAGAGGGTTGTGTTTATGTTCATTTTCTATGAGATACCTTAAAAGGACATCTCATCCATTAGCCTACATTCTTTCATAAACCCAAACCAAACCTATTGCTATTGAGTCAATTCTGACCATAGCAACCCTAGAGGACAGAGTAGAACCACCCCATAGGGGTTCCAAGGCTATAAATCTTTACGGAAGCAGATTGCCACGTCTTTCTGCCATGAACTGCCGACCTTTTTTTAGCAACCGAGCACTTTAACTGCTGTGCCACCAGGGCGCCTTCATTCTTACATGCTGTTGTTGTTAGGTGCTGTCGAGTTGGTTCTGACTCATAGTGATGCTGTGCACAAGACGATGAAACACTGACCAGTCCTGTGCCATCCTCACAATCGTTGTTTGAGCACATTGTTGCAGCCACGGTGTCAGTCCATCTCATTGAGGGTCTTCCTCTTTTGCTGACCCTCTGCTTTACCAAGCATGATGTCCTTCTCCAGGGACTGGTCCTTCCTAATAACCTGTCCAAAGTATGTGAGACAAAGTCTTGCCATCCTCGCTTCTAAGGAGAGTTCTGGCTGTACTTCTTCCAAGACAGATTTGTTTGTTCTTTACCAGCAGTCCATGGTATATTCAATATACTTCATCAACACCAGAATTCAAAGACATCAATTCTTTGGTCTTCCTTATTCATTGTCCAGCTTTCACATGCATCTGAGGTGATTGAAAATACCATGGCTTGGGTCAGGCATACCTCAGTCATCAAAGTGACATCTTTGCTTCTTAACACTTCAAAGAGGTCTTTTGCAGCAGATTTTCCCAGTGCAGTAAATGCAGTACATCATTTGATTTTGTAATTGCTGCTTTTGTAGGCATTGATTGTGATCCAAGTAAAATGAAATCCTTGACAATTTCGATATTTTCTCCGTTTTTAATGGTGTTGCTTATTGGTCCAGTTGTAAGGATTTTTGTCTACTTCATGTTGAGGTGTAATCTACACCGAAGGCTGTGATCTTTTATCTTCATCAGTAAATGCCTCCAGTCTTCTTCGCTTTCAGCAAGTAAGGTTGTGTTGTCTGCATTTTGCAAGTTGTTAATGGATCTTCCTCTAGTCTTAATGCTGTGTTCTTCATATAGTCCATCTTTTCGGATTATTTGCTCAGCATGCAGATTGAATAAGTATGGTGAAATGATACCCCTGACACACACCTTTCCTGATTTTAAACCACGCAGCATCCCCTTGTTCTGTTCGAACCACTGCCTCTTGGTCTGTGTATAGGTTCCTCATGAGCACAATTAAGTGTTACGGAATTTTTCAGTGTTATCCATAATTTTTTATGATCCACACAGTTGAATGCCTTTCCAAGTCACTAAAACACAGGTAGATGTCTTTCTGGTATTCTCTGCTTTCAGCCATGATCCATCTGACATCAGCAATGATATCCCTGATTCCATATCCTCTTCTGAATCTAGCTTAAATTTCTGCCAGTTCCCTGCTGCTGTACTGCTGCAAGCGTTTTTGAATTATCTTCAGCAAAATTTTACTTGTGTGTGTTATTAATATTATTCGATAATTTCTGCATTCTGTTGGATCGTATTCTTGCATAGCTACATCTAAATCTTCTAACATAGATGAAAGATTTTTATGTCCTACTTTAAGATATCCACTAATAGTGTTTCAACTGTAAGTAACGTTCTCAGTTCAATTCTACAAACATTTATTGAGCAATTTCTCTATGCTTTCTGCTTTATAGCAATTCATAGTCTAGCGAGGGAGACACTGAGAGTCTGATTCAAGGCAAGGTAAAGTCACAGCACTTAATATTTTACTTAAAATCACTTTATGTATTTGAATCAACTAAGCCTTTTAAATATTTAACTATGACTGATTCGGAGAGAATAACATCAAGATACAAGAAGAAGAATTAAGTCCACAGTTAAGAAATATACTATATAGAACATTATAGCAGAAATAAGAGTTTTGCTAGTATTAGCATCATTGGTTATGATGTGCACATTCTATTTAATTACTTCATGTTTTTGTGTTCAGCACTAATGTGCTAGTCTTACTAATAAAATTAAGATGATACATAATATCATTAAGTGACACTTATCAGTTCCATTTTGCATCTTGAAGGATATATTGAATTAATAGACTTTATAATATAAAACCTTCAGTTTTCTCATAAACCTTGAAGAACGTATTAGCTTTAAAATATTGACACTGTTCCATATGTAAGAATTTTTTCTGGTCATCCTTCATATTTTAATGGAATCATTATTGTAAAAACTAAAATGTACCTTGAAAATATTTCCCTGATGTCTTATTTAGTATAACATAAAAAATTCAATCTTAATCTGATTATGAAGCAATTTTTGCTTTTCAGTTTTTAATATATAGCTTTGTGTTGTAAGTAATGCTTATGGTTGATTTTCAGCCTTCAAGTCTGAACTTGTTTCAATTTTAAACATGTATGGACTTGTTGCCTCTCTTAAAAAAAAAAAAGATTTCCTAATGTTTGCTTCCTCGTAACAGTAACCTGGTTTATAGAATTGAAGGGACATTTTGAGCCCTGTGAAATCACTTGAACTTGAGTAAATATTAGACTCAGTTCATAAAATGAGTTCCTCAGGATTTGTTGAAAGAAAATTTTCTTCTAGGCCTGCAGTGTGATGGTTCATTGTTAGAATGTCCACCTCTCTAGTAGAAGACCAGGGACTGAATCTCATTTACTCTAGCTTCCTTTTGGAGCAGTGTGAGTCAGTGGTTTTCAGTTGGAGTCCTAGGAATTGTCAGAGGACCATTGGAGCAGCGGAAGACTCATATCACTTACCATGATTTAACCTGAGGACCGTATTGTTGTCCATCCTGGAATGAACATAGTATAATCCTTGAAGTAAATGGTTATAAAATTTAAGATCATTCACAGCTTGTATCCAGCCTGCTTTCCAGCTCCTTTTATCTCTCTCCCCTACCTCATCCCTGCTTCTCCATATACTTTTTGCTCTGTAAAGCCTTGGGTTCCCATCACTTCAGACTATTCTCTGTATACATGAGAAAGAAAATGTCACTAGAATGTGCTTAGTTCCTCAGATAAAGATGCTATATAATACAGGCATTTTTTAAGCCCCAACTAAAAGCTATTAACATTTTTCGCTTCCATAGCTTTTTCGAACGTATTTATTTTCTAGACCACATTAATTTGATTTAGTAACTTTGCGGTATACTTTGGACTGTACTTTGTGTGCCTGAATCATTTTGAATTCTAGGATCATTTTGAATTCATAAACATTTAGAAAGTACTAACCCCTATTATCAGAGCATTTAATTTTGAACACTTGGAATAGTATAAATAAATATCAGTCTGGTCTGTTTTTTAACTTTGAGAATAAAAATAACAAAGTGAAAGTTTTCTCAGCTGTTACACTAAGAATCAGATAGACCTATGTAATAGCAAACATATAAATCATTTCCTAGAATGCAGTTTCAAACTCTTCAGCCAGTGACTTGTACAGAGGAGGTGTTTAGTGAGTATTGAATTGTGCTAAATTCAGACCTTGTATCTGAAACTGCATCTGATCTCATTATTGCATGAGATTGAGATAATTCTATGTGGCACTGGCTACTTTAGCAAGACGAATTTTAATATATAGCTCTTATTCTCCTGGGTGACTGTGACAAACTGAATGTTTATTCTAAGCACTTTGAAAATTAGAGTTTCCTCTGCTTTTAATTTGTTAACTTTGGACAGTTGCTGACAACTAATATGTATTACATATAATAATGTAATTCAGGTCATTTCATTGAATGTAGCATGCTACCATAGTTGAGTATTGTATTTCATGACAGTGATGAATAACATGCTTTTGTTTTAGTTTAGAGAAAACATTTCCAAAGCTTATCTTCTGCCCGTGTAAGCTCAATTTTCTTTACATAAGAATTAAGGCTAGTGTGAATAGATAAATCCATAGTTAATTTAGAACTGATCATCAGTCTAACCCCTTCCCAGTACAAGCAGTCCCCAGGTTACGAACGTTCCACTGAAGTGCAACCCATAGTTACAAACCAACCCTTGTAAAGCCTATTACATTAAAAATTCGAAGTACATACAGTGGTTCATAATAACGGACAGGCACTACTTTGTGAATGCACATTAAAACATTATTATTACTGTATTATTATGTTAAAGATATTTTAGTATATCTGGAAGTGTTCCTTTAATGTTTTTTTGTACATAGAAAGGTACACTATGTCCTATATACTAAGACAGACATTTGACTGACTGACGTTAGATATGAACTGTACCTAACTGTTCCAACTTACATACAAATTTTACTTAAAGACAGAATTAGGAACGGAACTCATTCGTAATCCAGGGACTGCCTATATACCTCTTAAACAAAAGCAGCAAGCTGTAAAATGATCTTAGTCCCCTTTACTGTATAGCCATAGTGGGTCATGCTGCCCAGTGTAGTGCTCAAAAATCAAAGGGCCTGCTGCAGACAAATTCAAGCACTTCTTCTACCCTCCCATGTACCTTTTCTATCCCATTGCACAGTATTTTTCTTTTCATGTAGTTTTATCATTACATTATAAAGTCCTTGAGATTAGGAATGATATCTTATCACCTATGTGTCACCATTACTTAGTAAATCCTACATGGTGGGTACTTATTAAATATCTGTTGAAAGTTGTTGTAAAAGAAAGAATACTAAATAACCCAAACATTAATTATTGTAAAGCCCTATTAGTATAGCATTATCCTTCTCATTCTTATCTGTTCAGTTATTGAATAACATTACTTTGTGTGTTTGCATATTTTATCATAAATCATAATCCACTTTGTTTTGCTGCAATGTTATTATAATACCTGATAGTTTTAATGATTTTGTGCTTTAATTTGATTTTATTTTGTAACTTTTTAAAACTATATTAATTGTAATTAATTTATGCCTTTAAAATATTGTTATTCTAGTTACAGATGAATCTGTACCCTCTTATTCTGGAAGTGATATGCCAAGAGATGACAGTAGCATGTGGTCAAAAGTAACTGAGGAAGGAACAGAGTTGTCACAGCGGCTCGTGAGGAGTGGTTTAACTGGAACTGAAACAGACCCTGAAAACGAAGAACTTATGCTGAACATTAGTTCTCGGCTACAAGCAGCAGTTGAAAAACTTTTGGAAGCCATTAGTGAAACTAGTAGTCAGGTAACCTCCTGATATTTTTAATATATACTGAATTTGAAGTAGGTTTTCTTTTAAGCAGTGGAATGATGAAATCTTCTTCCTCTGCTGTCCCACAGGAATTTAATTAGGCTCCCCTTTAATAATTGGTTTCTTTGTGATAACCAATACTGATATCATTATTCTTCTCAGGTAGAAAGCGTTAATTTAATACACTGATGGGCCCTCCCCATTCTAAAATTTAGCATTGTTTTAATTTTCAGATTTTCTAGACTCTTACACGTTACTTTTTTGATACCCAAAGAGATCTTAATTTCACCATTATATGAAATGTTACAGTAAAATATATTAATTATATACCTTAAACTGTATTCTCTAATATGTCATAACACACTAGTATTACAATTTGAGGACAAATCAAAGTTGAAATTCTTTCATGTGATTTTTACATCCTTTTCACAAATACGAATAGATTACTTCACTTTACAATCCCTTAATTGGAAATTAGAATGTGGGACAGTTTCTACATTAAAGTAGTTTTTATGGAAACTTAAAAAATATATATAATCATTGTATTTATAACATAAATTGCAATTTTCTCTGTCTATAAAATTTTACACCATGTATGGTAATTGCCTGTTAAGTTACTGTATTCAGAATTTTAAAATAAATTCACTTATTTAAAACTGTTTAACCTAAAACATCTGTGGAATCATAGCTACCATGTTAATCAAATGAATTCACCATTGTGATCAGCTACATGGTCAGTATTATTAACATTATTTTGATATTTTTATTCAGAGCACCCTAAATCTAGGTATTTCACGGTGTAGGAAAACAGAATTTAAGAAGTTGAAAGAGTGTCTTTGTTCTCTTATTTCTGATGTCTAACTTTCATTGATGCTACTTTTTTTCCATAAGAAATTATTTAGTATGGTATGCTTCTGCAATAGCAATGTCTTGGACTTAGCAAATTTGAAAAATATTGTTATATATTTGGTGGTTTAATGCCATATTCATTTACTTTAAGTCAGGTTACTGATTATAGGTCATTTCTTGAGTCATCTCTTGGCTAGTGACACTTGAAATAATTTGTTAAACATCTGCTGCTTGGTTAACTTATCGTTATCAATATATATTATTTTTTTCTCTTTGTAACTTGATACTGGGATTCAATGAGAAAGACATCAAAACAACATATATTTCCAGTGAAATAATTGCCATCCGAAGAATAGTCTTCAGATATGACAGTTAACCAGAGTTTTTCACAGATTCATTCTTCTTCATTTGGGGAGAGTCTAAATCCTCTTTCATGATTTAGAATGAACTGTATCTTTAAGAAAAATAGAATCCTGAAATTACCACACATTGCAATGAGAGTTCACTAAAGAGCCAGAGAACTATGCCCTATACTCTTATACTTCTGCATTGTATGTTGATAGACTAGCCAAACTTAAGTATTCATATGTAGTTAAGTAGGGCTCAAAAATTTTTCCATAGGTACATTCGGAAGGTGTAATATGCTATGTAGTTATTTAACAGAAGAAATTGCTATCCTTGGGCAATTCTAATTTTCTGGAACTCTCTTTCACAACGGGTATAAAATGATTGAAAAACTTTTGCTTCAGTGGCTCAAAATTTTTCTTGAGCATCGTAAAGAACCAGAAGTGTAGTATTCCTGAAAACTCAAATCTTTATGTACTTACCAATAGCAAAAGGGTGACTGTCTTAGTTACCTAGTGCTGCCATAATAGAAATACCACAAGTGGATGGCTTTAAAGAACAGAAATTTATTTTCTCACAGTTCCGGAGATTAGAAGTCCAAATTCAGGATCTGGCTGTAGGGAGAGGTCCTTCCTCATCTGTTTCAGTTTCTAGTACCAACAATCCTTGGCATTCTTGGGCTTGTGTTGTGTCTGTTTCCATCGTCTGTCTTAATCTTCCCTCTATGTGTGTGTCTCTGTGTTTGTTCTGGTCTTTTATACTTTAGAAGTGATGAGGCTTAGGATCCAGCCTGAACTGGTATTGCCTTATTAACATAACAAAAGAAAAACCCCTGTTTCCAAACAGGGTCATATTTGCAAGTGCAGGGGTTAGGATTTCAACACATATTTTGGTGGGACACAGTTCAGTCCATAACATTGATCTTTAGTGCATATGACAGTAGTGGTCCCATCTTTAACTAAAACTTTAACAATGAGTTATTTTTTTATTGCCAACAGCCCAAGTGCTAGTAAGGAAATGCCACCAAGAAAAACCAGCTTCGTTTGTGTTATTACTTTTAAAAGCCACTAAATTACACTCTTGGATCAAAAAATTTTATTTCAGCCTCAGGTTCAGTAGATTTTATTTAAACGCAAACATTGCAACTGTGAATGCTATGTCATATTGTGAAATTCTGTAGCTACTATAATAAAATTCACATTTTCCAGTAAAATTCACTACTTCTTAAAGTCTTTGCTTTTCTGATTAACTTAAGCCCTATATTGGCTTTCTTTTAGAATGCTTAAGCTTAAACCACATTTACATTATGCTGCCCACTGAATCACCTGAGCCAGTTCAGGCATTTTTTCATTGTTGCTTTCCAGCACCTTTAAAGGTGAATGCATATGCATCATAGTTATCCCTTTGACTCTGTGGAAGTTGTATAGGATAGATGATTCTATATGTAATTTCTACATGATCCTGCTTTTTTTTTTTTTTTTGGCCTATTTCAGCCATATTAGTATTTTAATTTCTGTAATTAGTACTTTGTTTTGTGCCATGACAACAACTACTAATACTATTCTCCTGTTGATCTCTATTAAATTGTGGTGGCCTGGATCTTGACCAGGTTAATAGCTGTTGCTAACTACTTGATAGCATTTTAAATTATGGCAGGCTAATTACGGCAGTACAATATTTGTCTCCTGACCTGCACCATGGAAAATGGTGAATAAATCACAAGTTATCAGTGATTGGACTTGTTCCTACAGGCTACTAAAGAAACTTCCCCATAGTCTGTTAATGCTGCCAGCAGGCAAGTGTGTGGGGTCTACCTAACAGTCTGTTCCCCAGGCCAAGACCATAGCTCATTGCAACTATTTGCTTATGTGACCAGGTAGTGAAGTACAGTAGGAACCTGGCCATGGATGACATTTTCCAGATTATTTTCAATTAGTTAAATACTAAAGCAACACTGTGTTATTCTGCTTTTGCTGTATTATTTTAGATTAAATATTACAGAAGAGACCACAGAAGCTTTGCTTGGAGGAGTAGTTTTCCAAGTGTGTTCCCCAAACCAGCATCACTGGGGGACTTGCTAGAGATGTAAATTCTCAGGTCTCACCTTAGACCTACAGAATGAATAACTGGGGATGAGGGCCAGCAAACTATGTTTTAACAAGTCCTTTACACGATTCTGATGCACACTGAAGTTTGAGAACCACTGATGTAGAGAATATTAGTATAATGTTCAAATTTGTCAGCCTTAATTTCAAAGTGTTCTACTAATACCTATTATGTGAAAGGTTGAACTCATTAGTGAAATTAGGTATAAAAATGAGGTATTTCTTAGATGAGTTATAATTTTAAGGCAACAAGAATAGGAGCTTTCTAAAACTGTCCTTTAAACTAAATTTAGTTTAGTTACTAATCTTCCATAATGGTATTCTCATTAATAATTAAAATTATTTTGAGCCTGATAAATATATTTAACAGTCAGTTAGATTGACACAAAAATTTATAGTTTTGTGAAATGACTGGTATTCTATTTTCCTCTTAATTTGTCAGTGTTTGGTTCTTCATAATAGAATATTTTACTTTTAACCTTGTTTTTTTTTTTCTTGTTATAAAAACAGAACTGGGAGGTTTTGTTAAAATTGTTGATAGAACAGAATTGTTAACAGTCTAATAGTTAAAATAGACTTGGTGGGGAGGGGGCAGACGCATAGGAACCAGTTAGAAAAGTCACTTGCCCAGGCTTACAAGTTGGTAGGTGGTAGAGTTAGAATTTGAATCCAGGCAGTCTGGCTTTAGTCCATGCTCTTAACCACTACTTTTTCTGCCCTTAGAAAAAGAAAAGAGTGAGCCACTGTGTCAATTACTGCTGATAGGTCTTTTAAGATACAGACTAAGGAATGGATTTTGAAATCTGGAGGTCATCAGTGACCTTACAAGAGCAATTTCAGTTAAGTGGTAGAAGTGAAAGCTTGATACAAGAGAGAATGAGAGGAGAGAAAGTAAAGACTTAAAAGACAGTAGAAGCTAAGTCACTAGGTCAGAAGAAAAATTGTGGCAGATTTGTGATTTGGAGCTTGTGTAAACCAGTATGATGTGTTTGAGGAGCAACAGTAGTGTTGTATCGTAAATACCCAGGGTGGAACATGGGAAATGGATAGAAAGCGAGTATAGAGGAATAGGTAGTGGTTACATGTCAAAGTCCCTTGTGGGCTATGTTAAGTAATTGTAACTGTATTATGAAAAGTGTGGGGAGCCCTAATATTGTTAGCAGGAAAATAATATCAATTTTGTGTTTTAGAGAGATTGCTCAGGCAGCAGTGTGATGGGTGGATGGGCAAGAGGGTGGTAAAAAAGATGCTGAATGTAGAGAGACAGAAGACTCTTACAACCTTCTGAGAGGTGATAAGAGATCAAGTTAAGGCAGGAGGGAAATGATTTGAAAGCTATTTAGGAAGCTGAATTTGATAGAACTTGGTATGACTGAGTGGATGTGGGGATAACGAAGCGGGGGAGAACACCAGGGATGAATCCTTAACTGACCAAGCTGTTGATTATTTCATTTTCTGAGATAGGGGATGTAAAAGACATGGATAGAGTTCAGTTTTAGATAAGCTGAGTTTGAGATGACTGGAGGGGGCATCCAGGTAAAGATACTCACTAGGATATGGAGTTTGGGGAGGCATTTACAGGCATTTGAAGGTTTTGGGGGGTGTACAAAGAGCTAATTTTCGAGCTGGTAAAATGCTGACATTTAAAAGAGAGTAAAGATAGTTAAAACTATAAAGGAGATTGAGAATGAAAGA